TGGTCCCCTGAAGCTGATCCACGAACGGTGGTCAGGTACCAGTGATCATCCTGTGGAAAACTTTGACGATTTTCACGTTCGACTGAAAGCCGTGTGCGAAATGGCTCACAAGAACTTAAGAAAGGCCCAAGTGAGAATGAAAGGACTGTATGATAAAAGTTCTCGTAGACGAACATTCAATCCAGGCGAGAAGGTTCTTGTGCTAGTGCCTAATCTGAACAATGCGTTATCCTTAAGATATTGTGGACCCTTTACTGTGCATTCAAAATGAAGTGATTTGAACTATGTTGTCAATACGCCAGACCGAAGAAAGAAACAGACAGTGTCTCATGTTAACTCACTGAAAAAGTATTATGATAATTGTAACAATTTTCATTCCACAGCTAAAATTACTTTACCTGTATGTTCAAATATTTCTGATGATGTGATACATGATAAATTGAAATCCCCAAAATTGGTAAATTCTTCCTTTTTAGATCATCTAAATGACCACCTTATGCATTTGTCCACAGAGGAAAGCCATAAATTGTCTCAGTTATTTGAGTCATTTCCCTCTATTTTTGGGGATGTCCCCAAAGAAGCGAAAGTACCACCTCATGATGTAGACGTAGGTGATGCCAAACCCATCAAACAACACCCCTATAGAGTTAACCCGGAAAAAGCTGCTTTGATAAAAGATGAAATTGATTATATGCTTAAGAATGATATCATTGAACCCAGTTTCAGCAACTGGAGTTCCCCATGTCTTCTAGTCCCGAAAGACGGTGGATCTTTCAGGTTTGTGACCGACTTTAGGAAGGTAAATGCGCTCACCAAAGCTGATTCCTATCCATTACCTCGAATAGAAGACGTTATTGATAAAGTTGGTCAAGCTAAGATAATTTCCAAAATTGATTTACTATCAGGATACTGGCAAATCCCCTTATCTGACCGTGCACAAGAAATATCTGCTTTTGTAACCCCTAATGGTTTTTATAGATACAAACGTATGCCCTTTGGTATGCGAAATGCTGGTCAAACTTTCCAGCGGGTCATTAACTCTGTCATTGCTGACATAGACCAATGTGAGGCTTACATAGATGATATAGTTGTATTTTCTAATACTTTTGAAGAACATATTGTTCAGTTGACTAACCTTTTTAGAAAATTGTCTGAAGTTAATTTTACTGTAAACCTGCATAAAAGTGATTTCTGTAAAGGTTCAATTACCTATTTGGGTTATCAAGTGGGAACGAATCAAGTTAGGCCCATTGAAGCTAAAGTAGATGCTATTGTAAAGTTGCCTCCTCCCAAAAATTGTAAAGAAATCAAAAAGTTCCTTGGGATGGCTGGTTACTATAGGCGGTTCTGTCAAAACTTTTCAGCTGTTGCTGAACCTCTTACTGCATTATTGAAAAGGGTGTTGAGTTTGAATGGTCAAATAAATGTCATGAAGCTTTTTTAACCATTAAGTCATTTTTATCTAATGCTCCTGTTATGGCTGCACCAGATTTCAGCAAGCCCTTTAAACTTGCCATTGATGCTAGCAACTTAGCCATTGGCTCAGTCTTATTCCAAGAAGACAACTTGGGGATTGACCATCCAATTGCTTTTTTTTCCAGGAAGTTAAATGAGAACCAAAAGAATTACTCTACTATTGAAAAAGAAGCTTTAGCTTTGGTTTTGTCCTTACAACATTTTGAAGTCTATGTCACTTCTTCAACCAATCCAGTCAGAGTGTTTTCTGACCATGATCCCCTGAAATTTACCTCTAAGTTAGGACAGAAGAATCAAAGAATATTGAGATGGTGTTTATATTTCCAAAATTTTAATCTGGAAATTTCCCACATTAAGGGTATTGATAATGTTGTGGCTGATTGTTTGTCAAGGATGTAAAATCTTATTACACACATTGATCATGTAACATGTTTTGTGGTTCATTAGGACCATACACAAGTGTTGTGTTTAGGTGACACTCACATGAATGTGAGTGGTATGAGTTTTGAATTTTTTTCAAAATGACAATCGTGTTGCAAATTTTGTTTATTTTCAGGTGAACCTTAATTAAAGGTGGTTTTTGATTATATGTAATCTTCTATGATAATATGTCTCATATGACTCAGTTGATATAGTAGCTAGTCATTGAAATAAAGGTTTTACCCTGTCGGGTTTATCACTTTAATATCCACATGGAAAAATTGTAATACCCCTTTTCTGAGGGATTTTGATGTATAATTATTTTTTGAAGGGTTACTCCACTTTCACAAATTGTAAAAGTTTGAGTTACTTCCCTTTTATGTTCAGGGATATTTTCATCTGGTATTAAGATTTTGATTGACTACATTTGTAGAACATTTTTTTTTATTTCATTGCCAGATTGGTTCCTTATGTATGTTTTTGTGGAACCTATCTGTCACTTCCAAAAAGGGAGGGGATGTGACCTACTTAGGTCTCGTCATGTTTTAGGTTGACATTGTATTAATACCATATATGGATTGATGGTGTAACAACCGGGTTTTTTCCACTGTCTTACTAAGAGTGTCTAAGACGTAGAAAATTTCCATCAAGATCTGATTGATTAATTCAGACCAGATGACCACACCAACCAATGGCCACATGAGTTGAGGGTAACCTCCCCTGTTGCATAAGTCTTTAACTAGATCGCCCACAGGCGACACGAGGCAGTCCACCTTGATCAAGCAGTCCATCTTGACCAGGCCGTCCATTTTGTCCGGCAATAGATTCTGACCATTTGAACGTGAGAGAGCTTAAGTCCTGAGTGTGCTATGCATTCCTAAGTTGTTAAAGTGTTCTAATATTATATTACTTGTCGCCAAGTGATTTCTTGATGCTATAGCAGTGTTGTGTGACCTGTGGCTATTTTTATACAGTGTTAGAATCTGTGATAGTATTTTTTCTTACGCTTTGTAAGTTGGATTTTGTTATTTTCTAAACTAAATATTTTAACTTGTTTAACCTTGTGATCTGCCACAACTGTGTTCGCTTATTAAAGGTTGTATGCAGATTGAATGAGTTGTTAACTTCAATAGTTTCACTAGTTTTCCCTAGACATCGAAATCGAGCCCTAGTGTGTTGTTTGAGTTAATGTCCATTCATTTAGGCTTTAAGTCATTTGCATATAACCCCAAAAAAGAATCCGGGGGCGTTCACCATCTATCTGGCTGGTAGATAGGAGTCCGTTACACTAAAACCGGGTCTACGACAAATTCCTGAAATACACTTGCCCAAATGCCGTTTGCCCCAAGGCCGATTTCCCGAACGGACACTTTCGCGAATGCGACAAATATCCGAATGGGCATTTGTTAATATCAAATAGACATTCTTAATCAATTCAAGTTTGACATTTTGATAACACAATTCTGGGCATAAAAAACAAATGTGTTTATAATAAACAAAATGTGAATCATTTTAAAAACCTCAGATAAGCGAAAATTATATTTTCGTTTGATTTATAGATAGCAAAAGATGTAGGCCCTACGCTTTCTGTAATTTAGCAAATACTAATTAATTCATAATGCCTGCTTGCAGATATTAAATAGTATTTTGTTCCCTTTCAATTTGGTTAGACATTTATTTAATTATCAACATTTCAAATTTAAATTGATTAAAAATGACTTTTGGTAATCAGTAATGTTCACATTTTTCGGGCGAACGGCTTTCGGGCAAATGGCTTTTGGGCATTGTCGCATTCGGGCAAGTATCTTTCGGGAAATCGTCCGACTCCCGTTATAATCATACAGTCCGTATGTGTTCACATTATAGTTTAACTATATATGGCTTATCTATCGAAACAAAAATTATTAGAACTAAAGTTGTTTTGTTGTAGGCCTACTTAATAATGACCGATAACAAGATTTGCACAGTCAGCATTTTGTGTTGTTTATTTCAGTTTTCAGCAAATTAATTAGATACTAAGATGTTAAAAATGCATAATTATAAATTTTTTCATGTTATTACTTTCTTTTTCATATTTCAGATCTGGCTCGTATGTGAAAACTTCTTAATATAAGAAACATAAGGGGATGACGTGACGTTAATTGAAATTAGTTAATTTTAAACTGCAGCTCTGTATATGTCTTACTGTACTAGGGTAGACCGCTGCACGTCCGTGTAATAAAAATGCAGAGAGTAAGAGATTTAGAGAGCGCGTGAGAGTGGGCGTTAAACAAACGTATAAAACATTTTACCGATTGGTTATCATTGAGAATTATTTGATATCTTTTACTATTCCTACATTTAAACGAGGAAATCAATAGATAAACTTGTCATAAAATCACTATTGTTATATAAATAAGTTTTAAAAACTTTTTTTACAAAGCAAACTTACCTATGAGATGAAAATCGTTAGACAACTTTGAAATAATATTTTCATGTTCACCCAGCTAAATTAAAATAAAGTGTAAAGGGAATAAATGAAACAATCACATATCTACTGACTCACTAGCTTCAATAGATAATGGTAACTTTTAAGAAAAGGAAATGATTTATTGTATATTCTTATTTAATTAATAAACTATTTATTAGTGAATTCCCAAAAATTATGGACATTACTGGAGTAATTTAGGATTTATCAATGTTGCAAATGATTTTTTATACAGTATTACAAACATACCTTATTTAATTTTTCTTCCCTAGTTTCAAAGTTCTTGTTAAAGATTTGAATCAGTTTGTCAATGGGCATCAATCTTTGTTGTAAAAGTTTATACATTACATTGTGCTAAATTAAAGATTTATATATTTAACTATTTTTTTTTGTATATTAAAACTCACATACAATTAGCCTTTATATAAAAGTTATTATTATAGGTTAAATTAGTCAACTGCCCCTTTTAACAATTTGAAGTAAATTGAATTGCAAGTAAGAATAGAACTGTGTACAAAAAATACAGCAATTTTAAAATTTACCTTTGATTGTAACTTTACAAATTGGGTTGATGTTTTGTCCAAGATTTTATTATTTTCATCTTGTAAAGAAACAAATCAGAATGGCTTTTAATTCCTTCTTTCATACTGTCTCTTATATCTTGCATCTCTTTGTTTATTTCGCGCACTTTGTTTTCATATCCTTTCATATCAAGAGACAGTTTCTCTAGTGTTTTGTTTGACTTTGGATTCTTTTTCTTTTGTACTTTCAATTTCTTTGTTCAGCTCCTTTACTTTTTTATCTTGTTCACTCATTTGTTTTCTGAGGTTTTTAAAATTCTGCTTTTGTTTTTTAGTCAGTTGTTCAATGTTTACCCCCATGTCACTCTGTTCTGTTACAAAGTTGTCTCTCCATTGTTTTATTTCTGATATGTCATCTGTAGACTTATGTTGTGTGTCCTGTAGTGAAGATAGTGTTGTTTCAATATAGGCGAGTCTACGCTCTAGGTCAGGATGTTCTTCAACTGAGGATAGTCACAAGTATAAGTTGGTAATTTAACATGTCTGGAACCTTGATAAATAGGTTCTCAAAACAGCGTTAAACCTGGTTAACGTTAATATAAAATATTTTAAAAAGTAACAGAAACATTGATTAATCTTTAACATTGCATATAGCTATTTAACTTGTTATATCAAACAAAACTAAGACATACCCGCTGTATTTTTGTCTTGTGTCTTGAGTTGTCTTGGTGATTCTACTGATAGAAATGTTGCTGATGTCTGTGTGTCAGGCTGTGGTAAAGATGGCGTTGGTTTGTTGACATCCATGTTGTCCTCGTCTGGTGAATTCGGATTTAGAATTTTATTTTAATTGCAGTTGAAGTGAACAAGGATTTTTATAGTACACACAATAAATGTTGCTTTTTTAGCTAGTTAAACCATAACGCAAGCCATGTAATACTCTGATCAAAAACAAATTTGAATATGATCCAAACGTATACAAACACAAATAATTCCAAAATAACCGAAATCTATATATTGTTTTAAATTTAACTTTTACAAGAATAATTATCGATTTTATAATAAAAAGTAATTTTAAAAAACCTTAATGTTCTATAGACATTTAAGGCTCTTCAACGTTCTTTTAGGGTGAATAAGGTTACACGATGTGATTGTAAAAATCTTTTTTTGTTTATATAATGATTTACAATATTCACAAATGTGACGTCGTTTTCATAGAAAAAATGGAAAGTGGTTTGTTAGACAGTAAAATTATATCTCTTTAACTTAGTATTTGTAATGCCTGTAAACTAAACTGTAAAACAATTTCGTTGCATTTTTCTCAGTAGAAACACTTCATTACTGAACACACATGACACATGACAGTAGGCTTTGAGATTTTAAATTATAAAAACTATTGGAGTATTGACTTAAAATATGTGACGTCACATCCAACAAGGCCGTGGCTACTGTGTCCAGTTCTTGTGATAGCTCGATGTAGCTGACAGATGATTGGTCAGTTTTTTCTTCTAGCCACGCCTTACTTTTTGCAACAACCTGGTTAAAGCAAACAACAACAATATTGTCAATTGGTCACGTGTTGAAGTGCTATATTCCTAAACACGTGTTGTTGCTCTGTGTTTTTTAACACATGCACTTCGAAAAACGCTAAACCTATTTTATAGTGAATAAAATGATTTTTACATTTTAAGTATTACGAAGACTTTTTAGTTTGTAATGACTTACATTTTTTATATTTCCCAACATAGGTTCCAGAACTTGTATCTGTTCTTCCAAATATTTCTTGCGCTCTGTAACAAACTTGACGTGAATTCTTGAAGGCATCTAAATGTTAATAACACTAAATTTTAAAAATATATTAACTTTGTCATCATCGCTAAACAAAACTAAAGCATATATTCTTCTAGCAAGTAAGGCTCGATCACTGCCAACACTGAAAATTAAGAGCGAAGAAGAAGAAGAAGTATTTCTTCAAGGTAACCCCCCCCCCCCCCCGAAAATAGGCTACCGCCCCCTAACGTAATATAGAAAATATATACTTTTAACAGTGTCCGCCCCCCCCCCCCTTTAAATTTTAGTTCGCCTACCTCCTCCCCCCCCCCCCCCGCCCCCCAAAAATTTCAAGTGTCATCCTTTATCTACTGACGGTACCATATATAAGCCTAGCTCTTAAATTATTTTAATTTAAGGTGAATCTTTATAATCATTTATATATTTATAATCTTCCTTGAGTCAAGTATAATTTTAGTGTACCAAAAGTAATATAATAATTCATTGTTTGAGAAAAAAAATATTTCATCCAGAAATTAATTCAGTAAAGAAAGAGTTAATTATAACAAAGAAATTAAATCTAATACATGAGTTATAAATCTACCAAGACTAAGTTTTTGTCCTAAATTATTAAACTATAACTGGCGATCCACAATTAAATGAAAACTACTTTAAATATTGTTATATTCCTTTTTACTTTCTCGTATATACGTAGTATAGAGAAAGTATTGTAATCGTGCAAAAAAAAAAAATCGAGATTTTTACAAATCTCGACGTTTTACACCTCACTGATACGGAAAAACATAATTTTGCAATCTTGTCCGTATGTCTGTGTGTGTGTGTGTCTGTCTGTCTGTCTGTCTGTCCGTGTGTAAACACGATAACTTGAGTACCGTTACAGCTAGGTGGATGAAATTTCATATATAAGTATTTTATCAAAATCGTAGATCCGTATCAACTTTTGAGCGATTTCCGATAACCGGAAGTGGTACTTTTCCTACTTTGAATTTTTCAAAAGCCTATAACTTGAGTACTATTTCAGATAGATAAATGAAATTTCACATGTAAGTAAAAGATCTAATTCTCTACCTTCTGTTAAATTTTGAGTAATTTCCGTTGACTGGAAGTAGTAATTTACGCTACTTCCGATTTCTCAAAAAACTAATGTAAATTTTTAAAGTACTAATAATATTGCGCACTATTATACGCGTTTTTATTCGGCGTTTGCTTGGTGCGCAATGTTTTTTTTATGAGATTCTATTCTATTTTTAAAAGTTTAAGTATTTAAAATGGATTAAAAATCATAACTATATCCCCAGTTACCATCCCCTGTTGTTTTATATAAGAATATTCGAGAAAGTTTAGGGGAGATCACTACCGGTTTATTTAGATATGTTAACTAATGTTGCAGTTAATTATGTAATACATATCAGAAACATGCGATAGTTTTTATTGGCTTCACTTATGTTATTCCTGCTTGCTAAAATTATACACTTGGGTATTTCCGTTTTTCACTTTCAATATCTATCAAGCGTTGTGATGAACTATTTTACAATTTGTCTGTGAATTGCCTAAACATACAGTAATAAAATACGTTTTTTATTAATAAGTATATTTTAAGGAAATTATATATTATCAAGTTTTATAATTAAGACAATATAATCCTAATATATATAACTAAGTAAGAATTAAGTAAGTAGAAGAGCTTTTGATTTTGGTTAAAAATTTATTATTTTTAGGTTGTTTTGTTATATTAAAAGGAAATGCTGTTTTAAATATAGATGAAAATAGATTAAAGATTAGCAGTCCCTTAAGTAGGCCTAGCCTTGTTGTGGGGAATCAAAGGACTAGATCTAGAATTTTGTAGAGTAGCTGAACTTCCTCCGTTGAATAATAGCGGGTTTTCCCGATCGCGTTGTCATTATTAGAGTTATCTTTCTTGTAAGGATGATTTAACTACGTGTAGATTAGCCACAACAAGAAATCTATTTCAATAAAACAACATTCTATCTAAAGGTAAGTAAAAAATTGTGACATCATACACGTTGTTTTAATTATTTACACATCGACTAACGTGGGTGAAGTTCAGATGCGATATGGAAACATGATAGGTTGTATATCGAGGCGATAAAATGCGAAATTGAAGCACGATAGATGATATATCGATGCGGTAAAATGCGAAATCGAAGCACAATGTATCAAATGTGGAGACGGTAAAATGCACGCTTAAGCTGAAAGTTAAAACAGTCGTTTACGTAACATTTGTGTCAAGTAGTTGAAATTCTTCACTGGGACTATTGCATCTGCAGTCATATGTTATCAGAGGCGTAGCGACCCAAGTCGGCCTCGGGGCGAAGTATCAACTTTGTGCCCCCTCCCATTTAATGTATATTTATTGACTTTAGTGGAAAAAAAAAATTACCCCCCCCCCCCCCACCGAGCTCTATTTGAAAAGGTTGGTGTCACTTTATAGCAGTCAATAATTTTTTTTGGTGCCACACTTAGAGAGTGTACTATTCAATACCTTAGCTTTCAATGATTTCAACCCAAATATGTGTCAACAATTTAGTGGTGCCACTTTATAAAACGCATACTGATGTAACTTTAAAATGAACATTCACTTAGCCTATCTATAAATTACATGCAGATGTCTGAGTACAACCCCACCCATGAATCTGTGAATATTTTGTTGGAACAGTTAGAGAAGATGCATGTCCATGTACAAATTCATTTAAGTCATTGTGTCACACGGGTAAATAAAATATATATATATATATATATATATATATATATATATATATATATATATATATATATATATATATTGCTTTTTATTATTATATTCTATATCGAAATCATTTGAATTACAAATCTGTATTTTAAATAAATATTATTATGGCTACTGCCTTTGCTCACGACGAACATTTATTTTAACTGAATTAATAACGGAAACTATTTATCTACTAATCTATTTGCTCTAATTAATTAGATCAAACAAAAAACCAGGAACTGGATGGATTAAACGTCTGACACTGAAATGACATTTAAAGATGTAGTTTTCATGGTAACATCCGCTAATACTACATTGATAGAACATGAAGATATTCTAGCTGGTAAAGTGAACGTTTGTATCTTGCTTTTAGAATTGTCAGCTACATATATAGGTTCAACATTTGGTTGGTTTTTTTTTACCATAAGTTTTTAAATATTAATTATGTAACATATAACGGAAAATTTAGGCATGGCATTTAGTTAATTTTTGAGTGAATAGTTTTTACTTATTATGGAGCATACGAAAAGCAAGTGATTTTTATTTTTTGAACAAAGACATTAGTTAATATATTTATTTTATATTGATAAAGTATGTAGTAAAAATCAAATTAAAAAGTTGAAACTGATCGATAGTTTTTGTCTTGATCAAAACATATGTTTTTATACAATCGCTTTTTAAATGAAATTATATATTCTTACCAATGAAAGACTTGCTTACAAATTTCAAATAACACATCTTTAGAGCAACCATTTTTTTACAGAATACAACATGCAGTCTACTAAAACAGTTGGACAACACAAGACACCTGATGTAACAGACAATGAGGAATCTCAAACGGGTGAGAGATTTTTTAAAACTAATAACAAATATTAGCTTAATATGATTTGTAGCTATTGTCTCCTAACATGTTATTTAATAGTTACGTTTACAGAAGTTGTTTTAATACTATAGTTAAATAAACATGTTGTTTTGTTTTTGTTTTCTAGTGTGTGGGAATAACTCTCATTTTACTTCTTAAACTTGTTGAAAACTTGTATGTTATTTGTGTTAATTTAAAATCAATCTTTTTCAAATCAGATTTGTTAAATCGAGTGAAAATTCTCGAGAAAGCTATAATTTCTCTTCAAGAAACGCAACAAAAGACTGAAGATGACATGTCAGAAATGAAACAATGGAGAGACAACTATGTCACAGAACAGAGCGAGAGGACAACAAGAATTGAACAACTCAGAAAAAAACAAAAGCTGAACTTAAAAAACTTTAGAAAACAAATGAGTGAACAAGATAAGAAAGTAAAGGAGCTGAACAAAGATATTGACAGTTTAAAAGAAAAAGAATCCAAGTCAAACAAAACACTAGACAAACTGTCTCTAGATTTAAAAGAATATGAAAACAACCTACTCGAAATAAATAAAGAGATGAAGGTTCACACAGATAAAACAGACAGTGTAACACTAGAAATTCAACATTTATCGACAATTATTTTTGGTTTACAAGGAGATAGTAAGAAAGTAAAGACCGATACAGCAAACACGATTGATAAATTACAGTTAAAGGTACATAAAAAAAATCACATTTTCAAAATAGTTTGTACACGGGTCATTTAAAATATAACTCTACAAAGATGAGGTTAAGTATAACATAAACACATTATGTGTGTTTGCATTATGAAACTGTAATTCGTTAAAAAAATTCTAATATCAAATATCTGCATTTGAAATTGACATCATTATAATTTTTGTTTTAAAATCATAGCACAGTGTGATGTACAAACTCCTACAACAAAGATTGATGCTCATTGATAAACTGATTCAAATCTTCAATCAGAAGTTTGAAACTAGGGAACAAAGTTTAAAAAAGGTGAATTTCTTTAAAGTAAAATTGTTTTCTTATTTATATTAAAATAATCAACATTATAAAATTAATATCAGTTGCGTGGAGCCATTTATGCATATTATCTTTCCTTTCTAAGCCAAGTTTATAATCATTTGTTTTTAGATTCCATTAAGGGTGTTGTACTAATTTGCAAGCTTAGTGTTATATTACACGTTTCTGTTTGTTTAGCGAGATAATTATCAATACCATTAGATCATAAACTTGAATTATTTACCAAGAACATTAAACATATATAAATATGTTTTTTTTTCAATTAAGCTGGAGGCCATTGAAAATGAGATGATAAAGCTATCAAACGATATTCGTACAATCGGTAATTTTCTTGTGTTCTTGACTGAATCCTTTGTGGCCCCTGATGAACAAATGGCTATAATCACACCTCGACACCGGACTGGGTTTTGGGCAGCTCTCCTTACTTGAGCCGAGGGCATTAGCCTCTACTTCTACCGTTCTCGTCTGTGATCTTTCAACCGGCCCACTTTCTTTTTTCTCTATCGATTCTAGTCTACAGCTTTCTTTGCATAATTATCTTCATTCCTTCTCAGGGTATGTCAAACCCATCCCCATTGTGACCTACTTAGGTCTTGTATTTTTTAGTTTGACTTTTATTGCTCAACCATGAGTGACTGTGGTGCAACCACCAGGTAATTTTCCATAGTTCTAAGAAAGACATATCCCCAGTACTTTTCCATCACGAGTGGTGGTGCAATACTCTATACATTCGATTGGTTGATTCGGACATCAGAGTTGTCCCAACCAATAGTCTCACGTTTTGGAGGTGACCTCCCATGTTGCCTCAGGTGTCAAATGGTCTGCGCACACACTTCTGCAGCCAGAGCCGACCGCTGCAGTGCGTAGCAGCAAGTCAGACCAGACATCTTTGAGAGAAAAAGCCTTGAGTGTCGCTATTTTGTAGCCTATAGTTTTAAGCAGCATTTTTCATTTATTACTTGTGGTTTTAAGTAATATTTTGTGCTTTAAGTAGTGTCGTATAAGCTGTGGTGATTTTCCTAAGTGCCATATCCTGTGATAGTGTTAAATAGTGTTTTTTCTTCAAATTGTAAGTTGGGTTTTTGATATTCTACTCATTCATTTTATTCTGTATAAAGCTAGAGTCTTACCTTGAATTTGTACACATATTAAAAGTTATATATGGATTAAATGTGTTGTTGGCATCAGGAGTTCATCGAGTGTATCCCCTAGACGTTAAGTACGTGTCCTCGTTAACTGTTGTGCTAGCTATCATTTATAGGGCTTTATGCCATCTGTGTATAACCATACAAACGAACCCGGGTACGTTCGCCAGCTATCAGGCTGATAGAGTGGTGTTCGTAATACCATTTAACGGGTATAATGTCCTTATCTATTGGTTGTTGTTTTGTGTTTGTCACAGGTAATTAGTTGATAGTTTACCAGGTCATCCTATTTTGTGAGTTTGCAGAAGACTTCTGTTTATGAACAGTTGTTGTTTGTGTTTCGTATTTTGTAGAAAAAAAAGTAAAAAAAAAAAAAGGATAATAACAAAATGTAGGAAAAGGTAAAGAAATGAACTTGTATAAAATATATTTTCTTTAAGAATCAGCCAACGAGCTTAACTTAAGACGTTGGCGAGTAGGGGGGGGGGGTGGGGGGTGAGGTTAGGGGTACAGTATGTCCAATTAATATCTGGTCTATTTCACACACATTTTAGTCACTTACTAGCTCATTCGTTACAATCTTAATATAACGCCTTTTTTCTAAAAATAATAAAACTTTTAAAAATTTAACTGAACATAGTTGAACTTACTGCTACTCAATGATTAACAATTTTATCTTGTTCAATTTTCGTGACTGCTTTTCTTTTCAGTGACCTTTCCTTTTTTTAATACTTTAAATGTACCCGTTTAAGACAAAAACTGTGACGGAGTTTTGTTTCGTTTCCGCGTTCACAGTTTTGGTGAGGACGGTACTAAAAAACGGTCATTGATTAGTTGAATGGTGATGATATAGGAAATAAAATGAAATATGCAATATAATAGATAGTAGCAAATACTTACTATTAATTTAAATACTAACAAAACATTACACACTACGAAACTCAAACCAATAAATACTAAGTACACAGTATGCACTACCCAATACTATTATATAATACATTTACTAGCAGTTATACTAACCTAAAAAAATAGTGAACAAATAATTAACGAAGGTGTAACAATGTAAAGAAACGTTTAACAAAATATACATGTTTTTTTTCTTCTACTTGACAGATAAACGTGCAGCGTGTAACAGATATGGTTGTTATATCCACCTGAAAGACAAGACAATGATCACATCGATTTCTAGGATTAAAACATTTGGTGAAATTAGAGAATACAATGGTCAACATTTTAATCAAACAAATGGAACATTTGTATCACCACATGATGGTTTATATCTTGTCTGTGTCACTTTACATGAATATGAAAATAAACGGATAAGAATTGGTGTGTAGGCTGTAGGGATGTGGTGTTTGTCTGTTGAAGTGAAATGTGCCGACACTAGCGCTGCTGGGTCAGTGGTTGTTGACATGAAGAAAGGGGAAGAACTTTACTTTGAAGTGTCTCAAGCAGAACAAGCCGCAAATTTATCTCACCGCAATAGTTTTACTATCGTTAGTTTATAGAAGTAAAACACAAAACATGGTGCAGGGTTAACTTTTCAAACAATCAAATCTCTATCCACCATGTCAAATACCTGTACATAGATTAATCTTGTAAAAATATTTTCTATTTCGTGTTATGATTCCACGTGTTACTATTTATTTTTTTATCAATACAATAAACACCTAACTAGCCCAAACTTCTGTTTGCTTAAAGAATATAAAATGTTTTAAGTGTTAGGGACTGTAGCAATATGACTGAAGTTTCAAATCTTTTAGATAATGTTTTTAAGTCGGTCTTTTGTTAATATTTTGTAAACACTAAAACATCATTTACACTTTAAAGTGTGATCACTGGGACAAGGGACATAACCATTAAAATACGTTTCAATGTTTAAATATCTTTAAAAGGTTATCTTGAGATTTTCTTTACACTTTACTTTCTCGTATACAAAGTATGAGGAAGTGTTATAATCGTGCAAACAATAATCGAAATTTGTAATTTTACATGACCGCATGTCTCTCTGTATGTGTGTATGTTTTGAAACACGATAACTTCATTTAAGTTACAGCTAGGTTGATGAAATTTCATATATAAGTAGGCCTAATTATATCAAATGTGTAGTTCGGGATCAACTTTTTCGCGATTTTTGGTAAACGGAACTGGAACTTATTCATATATGATAAAAAGATATAAATTGCTAACTTCTGTCAAATTTTCAGTAATTTCCGTTGACCGGAAGTAGTAATTAGTGCTATTTCCGATTTCTCAAAAAACGCATGTTGGGCGTTCACTTGGTGCGCAATTTTTTTTTTACGAGATTCTATTCTATTATAAAAAGTTTTAGTAATTAAAAATGGATTACAAATATTGTCCCGAGTTGCCATCCCTAGTAGTGTTATATTAGAATATTCGAGAAATTTTTAGGGAGATCACTCCCGGTTTATTTTGTTTGGTTTAAAATGAAAAACAGTTTTCAACTAAAAATTACATACTTCTGGCTTATAGTTTCTATTTTTAAGGGTTTTTTTTTATTCTGATGAGTACAAACTACTTTATCACTTCTACGCGAAATACGACTAAGTTTCATTTTTTTTAAAATATGAATGCTTAAGTAAATAAATTATAACAGAAAAAAAATTAAAAGAAGTTTTTTTTGTGATCTGCATCTTATAACATTTTATTTGTTTGCTTCGAGGGATTGTGGCAAATCTTTTTATCTCAATTTTGACACACTTTAATGCGACGATTATGTCGTCGCACATTCGTGTAGAATTTGTGGAATATCTAGTTTAACATCATTTTGGTCTAAAATAAATTAGTTAAAAGTAATTTAGTTTAGCGAATTAATAAAAGGGGAGATAAAAAGAGAGGTGTGGCAACCGATTTCAGCGCTTGAGGCCAACTATCAGTTCTGTGCCCCTCATTCTAAATAATAAATTCTTTAGTGTATTTAAAGTGCCGTTTACTAGTTACTGCCCCTGTAACACAACCACTGGAGGCAATAATTCAGTCTATGTAAAGACTTGTCGCAGATAATTTTATTATTCAAATCTGTATTGTCGCTCAGGAGCTTCTTTTTTTTCTACCACTATTTGTGCACCGTATGGGACGGTGCCCGGGGCAGTTGAAAAGGTAACAGTTAAGTATTTTTTTTCATGAAGATCAGCATTTAAATACTTATTCTTCAAATTTTTACCAAAGCATCTGATGTAGGTTATTCGAATTAAGCTACTTCCATGCTTTTTCCATGGACAGAATTTACAGAAATGGTTTAGAGAAAGTAAAAAAATAATACATAGGTCTTAAATTATTTTGAAAAAAATGTAACTTAAGCACTTTTTCCGCTGAGCCCTTCAAATCGATCTGGATGTTTGAAGTCAATTAGCAATTGTTTTTAAAATGTTACATAAATGTCGTTACTTTTACCGGAAAAATGCTCGCATATTTTTCAATAACATTTACTTTGTCACTCCCCTCCGCATACCTTGAGCACACAACATTAAACAGTCACACCAAAACACACACTCATATACGTATGTTTAAAACATAACAAATCTTTTAAAATATACATAATAACAAACTTTTAAGTCCACTGGAAAAAATAAAATGAAACTGATTCTTTCTTAAAATCTTCGGTAGTTAAATATAGCAAAAGATTTCATGTGCGACAAAAGATTTTAAGAAAGAATGCAAATAAGTTTTATTTTATTTTTCGGTGCTTTGAACTCATGTTATTATAAAGATGTTTTTTTCTTTTTTCTTTTCCGCATTAATTTTTAGTTATTTTACATTTATAAAGTCGACACTGCATATGGTACGACTAAAAAAATTTGCTTTAAAACACCGTGAGTAGCTCGCGATCTCTGAAAGACGATTATCTGCTTTAGAACACCGTCAGTAGCTCGCGATCTCTGAAAGACGATTATCTGCTTTAGAACACCGTGAGTAGCTCGCGATCTCTGAAAGACGATTATCTGATACGTGGAAGCAGCCGAAAGTGTCCACAATATACAGACAACAGCAAGCCAAGCAAGTTATCGCTAGTTCATGCGGCCATTCAGTTTCAAATTGTTTAATACAATTTATTCTCGCCCCTGATAGCCTTTACTAACTTGACTCGCCTCAAAGATTGTAAATGTTTGACAGCCCTAGCTAGTTTTCTCCCTTTCTGTTACTGAATACAGTCATCTCTAGAGTATCCGCTAAGGGGATAGTTTATAACAAGCTTTGTTTGTTTCGAGGGATTGTGGCAAATCTTTTAAACTCAATTTTGACACACGTGAAATGCAACGAAAATGTTATCTGGAATATTTAGTTTTGGTCTTACATTAATTAGTTAAAAGCAGTGGCGTAGCGAGGTCGGGTGTCACCCGGTGCGGCACTTAATGGTGTCACCCCCCCCCAGAGGCGTTGCGCCCCTTCCCGGGGACATACTTTCAAGTTTTCAATTTGCACCCCCCCCTCTCAAGTTTTCGATTTGCACCCCCACTCAAACTTTCCATTTGCACCCCCCCTCCTCAAGTTTTTCTCTATATATTTTGCTATTTTTTGCCTTGGTGTCACCCCCTAAATGGTGTCACCCGGTGCGGTCCGCACCCCCCGCCCCCCCCCCCCCTCGCTACGCCCCTGGTTAAAAGTAATTTAATTTAGCGAATTAATAAAAGTGGAGATAACAGGAGAGGTGTGGCAACCGATTCGAGCCAACTCTCAGTTCTGTGCCCCTCATTCTAAAAATAAATATAAATTTAGAGTATTTAAATTGCCATTTACTAGTTACTGCCCCTGTTACACAACCTCAGTCGTCGAAACTGGCAAGACTCCAATGTTGCGTGTCGTCATACAATTCAATCGATTTGCAAATATCGATTATAATTGGGTCAACTACAAATAATGAACTCAAGCCTAAATCTAAATGGTATCAAAAGCCAGCATGTTTTTATATAGGCTACCTTAAAACACAATCCAGCAGGACAAAGTTTGCTCTACATTAACATTACGTATTTCGTTCAGTGCCTCTATATGTTCACATTAAGAAATTGAATTTAGTATTTTCTCACACAATACTTGTAAAAGATGTGCTCCTCTACATGCTCCAATTTATTTCAAGTCAAGGTGTCGATGATATCCTGCGATTGTCAAATGAATCTTGGGTTAGATTTATGTATCTTACATCGAATAATGGTTTTGGTCTATACGCCAAAGATGTATTCTTTGTCCTATGATTCAAAGGCCGAATTATAATTTTTACAAGCTTTTATTTAGTTCACAATGCTTTTCTTTATGTTAATTTAAAAATTAGTTTCTTATAATATATTTAAATGTGTGGAGGGGTGGAAGCAGGCGATGAAATATCACATTCTGTTTATATGTGCTATTTTAGTAACAACCCCTGCTTCCAACCCTCTACACGTTTACAGTATACCCATTTAAGGAAGCTACCGTTTGTCTGTGTCATCAATCCCGTACTTCTGTGTCGTTATTGAGGTCGAATAATAGTCCATTGTCATGTTTATGAGGCCAGCGGTCAGTTGGTGCACTTAGTGATCAGCCAAAAAGCTCTACTTTGTGTAGAGCTGATTGGCTGAATTGGTTACACGTCTGACTTGATGCATGGAATGGGGAAGCGATGTAGTTTCGGATCCCGTTAGGTTAAAACTTCTCTGCATCTACTTGGACTATATTCTGCACCTCTGTCTACTCTTGACGTGGAAATATCACTTACGGTTTATATTGCTAAAATATTTAAAGAAAATCTTTCTTTTTCTTTTTTAGTGCATTGTTACATAAAAGCTTGTTATTAAAACGTTTTTACAATCTTTTGTTTAGCTCGAAACGCCTGTTTGTGGCAAATTATGTAACTCTATTTTGACCTCCATCTAATCCAGCGATTTCGTTCAAACCTTTCACTTCGATGACAAAACAAGTCTATGTATTTTTTAATTTAATTAGACATTTAATCAGTCATTAAAATTAATTAAACTGTTTCCACACAATGAGAGATACCAAAATTAAATCGCTTGATAGATTACTATATTCACTAAAAAAAAGAGAGATTGCTACATAGACTGCTAGACGCTACAAGCATATTGTGCTGTGCTATTACACATTTCTATAGAGCTGTGCTAATACATACACTCATATAGATCTGTCATAGGCAGTATTTAAAGATCAGTTAACTTCATTTACGTAGCCCCATTCCAACATACAGTTCTTAAAATCAATATCTTACTGAGTCACGACTCATTTGTTACGTACCTGTTGTAACGTTTTTGTTCTTCTTAGCTAATATCGATTTTCTAGTGTAAGAATTGTTCATTTTTCTCAACACAGGTAAATAAAAATATATAGAATTAATGTTGTCATTTTTATGTATTGTTACTCTGTTGTTTTCACGGGAATGTAAAGTAGTTTTTTCTTTAGTTTGTCCTTTTTATTATTTAAGGAGTAATCTCTCTTTCAACATTACATTCATAAATGTATTAATCAAGGTACTATTTTAAGCGATAGTAGATGGACACATTGGTATTTTAAAACTATTTGCATTTATATATAAAAGGCAGACCATCTTGTCCTGGCACTGGTTTGTTTTTAGAAGCAAGTGTGTTAATGACATGAGACTTCTTCTCTCATTTAGGGTGAATGTCGAAATTATCTGTATTGCAATTATTACAAAAAAGTGTAACATTTGATATTAATATTTATATTCTTGAATTCTGTAAAAATTAAAAATGTACATTAGCAAATGCGAAATTTAAGTCTAGAGTGTAACTAAGGTCCATATTCACGACTGCAGAGTGTCCCTGCGTCCAACCAGCTCTGATGGGTACTTGACTCACGTTGGTCAAAGTAAAGGCAGCTGGTCGTAGTGCAGACATTATTTCTTAATTTGCCGAGGTTAAGAAATATAAGCTCTACTTCTTCCATCCTACGAATCATTAGGCCTGAAAAGGGAACTTTACTTTTATAATGGAATTGCGTTAATAAACATTTTTTTAGTTATCACTTTCTTAGTTTTCGGGTATTCTTTATATATAATTATGTTAAATATAATTTTATTTAAGAAAATTCATAAAGTCAACTAATTAACTGGCAAAAACCACACTGTTTAATAATAAATGAATAGAATATCAGTTATTGTATATGTAATGGTTAAAAGTCTCAATTGGTTTTAAATGCAGTTAAAACATTTTTAAAAAACGAAACAATTAGAAATGTCTAATTATTGTGTGTTTTTTTAAATTTAATTCTTCTTTTATATCAAAAATCCAAAACTAGAAGATAAAATTGTGGTGTCTATGAATATTTAAACTTCTACATTTTTCTACTGTTTATAAGTTCTTGATATTTATGTTTGATTTGTAAAGTAGTAAAGACATAGTAAATATGAAATGGGTCGTCCATAAATGACACTCGAAGGGGAAGGGGGGTCCGTAAATTTGTGACAGTGTGTAATCGGGGGGGGGGGGGGGATTCAGATGGTGTGATGTCACACTTTTTCATTATAAAAAACAAAGTTAGAAATCAAGTTTTAGCAGTTATTTTGCGTTTTAGAAAACGGTTTTAATAAATTGTAATAGGAATTGATGAAAATACTATATGTTGATATAATTCAGACAAGATTTCGGAAAAATAATTGTGTTTTAAAGAAAAACTCAACTGCAAATTTGAGGGGGGGGGGGGTCATAGGCTAAGGTGTGACGTCATTTTAGGGGGCGGACTGGCTTTTTGTGATGATGTGTTACTAAGGGGAGTTGGGAGGTAAAAATCGTCAAACAAAGCGTGGCGTCCATTATGGATGACTCCTAACCTATTATTCTTAGCTTTTCTAACCCAATCGTACCTCATACAGTTAAAAATAAAACTCGATATTAAATCTTTAATAATAAGAAACTTTTTAGGGTGTGATAAAGTAGACTGCTTTTTTTTTTTAAGAAGATATTTCAATTTCTTGAATATCGTATTTACAAAAGTAAACTACGTCCGGTTGATAAAAAAAAGTCTACTGGAGTGATGTGTTGTGTTTACAGCATTTCTATTTTGTTTTGAGTATTGAGTTGCGATCGAAATTTAATATTTCATTATACGTTATATGTAAACTATTTGTCTTCCCTTATATTTCAAAAATGTGCCTTTTACTTACCTTAAGATAATTCTAAAATAATTTTTTTTAAATCTAGAAAAATAAAGCCATGTGTATGCTTTTAGATCAAGCAATTTTTAACTTAGCTTTCCTTTTTAGTTAGATGAGGCCTAAAATCCAACTTAGGGTTGTGAGAGATCAAATAGAATATTTAGAGGACTATCTACACAAAACTGAGCCAGCTGTTGGAATTTTAAAGGATGTATGTGTTTCATTCTTTAGTTGGATTTTTAGTTTCTATTTAAATACGAATTCAAAAAGAACATCATTTTATTTTATAATTTAATATTCTTTTTTTTCGCGTGTTAAAATAATCAATATCATAAAAAACCACATTTACCACATCACATTTACTACATTAAATAAATAATTTAGGAAAACGTTTAGAACACGTTTTAGACAGACCTGAAAAAAAATATATTAAGCAATATTACACGCAGATAAGTAATACAAACAAGAATGTCATAGGTGTAAACTTATAACTCATTATTAATTACACATAACAACACCATTCTTTTCAATGCTATACACAAACATCAGTATATTTACTCTTGCACGCACGTTGTCGTAGACATCTAGAAGTTTACCTTAGAAAAAAAATATCACACTGTTTCCTCCATACCAGGCGATATCACAAAGCAAAGCGTGGCTAGAAGATGAGAACTTTCCAACAAGTTACACAGAAATATCTCATCAACTTGAAATGGCTACGTCAGTTGTTTTGGAGCATAAGTCAAATATTTTAAGTAAGTGGTTAGACGACCAAGGTTCCCTTTAAATATTTATTATTTAGATGCAGTACGGTTAGAAGTTCGTAATTATTTATCGAATCAATTTAATGAATATTCTTAGAATTGTCCTTACATTTATGATGTAAAATTGGGAGAACGAAGAATCTTTTTAGAGATCGACGTTTGCAAACGCTTTGGAAGGGATGGGATGTTGTTTTCTCTTCGTCTCTGTATCAGTGTATATTTCTCAGTGTATGTCTCAATGTATGTCTCAGTGTAAGTCTAAGTGTCAATGCCAATGTCAATGTCAATGTCTATGCCTGTGCATGTGCCTGTGCTGTGCCCGTGCCAGTGCCCAAGCCCATGTCCATGTCCATGTCCATGTCCATGCCCATGCCCATGCCCATGCCCATGTCCATGTCCCTGTCCGTGTCCGTGTCCGTGTCTGTGCCTGTCTGTGTCTGTGTCTGTGGCTATGGCTATGGCTATGGCTATGGCTATGGCTATGGCTATGGCTATGGCTATGGCTATGGCTATGGCTATGGCTATGGCTATGGCTATGGCTATGGCTATGGCTATGGCTATGGCTATGGCTATGGCTATGGCTATGGCTATGGCTATGGCTATGGCTATGGCTATGGCTATGGCTATGGCTATGGCTATGGCTATGGCTATGGCTATGGCTATGGCTATGGCTATGGCTATGGCTATGGCTATGGCTATGGCTATGGCTATGGCTATGGCTATGGCTATGGCTATGGCTATGGCTATGGCTATGGCTATGGCTATGGCTATGGCTATGGCTATGGCTATGGCTATGGCTATGGCTATGGCTATGGCTATGGCTATGGCTATGGCTATGGCTATGGCTATGGCTATGGCTATGGCTATGGCTATGGCTATGGCTATGGCTATGGCTATGGCTATGGCTATGGCTATGGCTATGGCTATGGCTATGGCTATGGCTATGGCTATGGCTATGGCTATGGCTATGGCTATGGCTATGGCTATGGCTATGGCTATGGCTATGGCTATGGCTATGGCTATGGATATGGCTATGGCTATGGCTATGGCTATGGCTTTGCCTATGCCTATGCCCATGCCTATGCCTATGCCTATGCCTATGCCTGTGCCTGTGCCTACGTCTACGTCTACGTCTACGTCTTTGTCTAAGTCTACGTCTACGTCCACGTCCACGTCCACAAGCAAGTTCACGTCCACTTACACGTCTACGTCTACCACCACGGCTACGGTTATGTCATATCTGTGTCACGTCAGTCCATCATGTGCAAACATAAATAAAATGCTAATACCTGAGGTAATCATATTTGATAATGACAATCTATCTTAAATACAAGTATTGACCTATTAATTTTGTATCTTACTATTTTAAAATTTGATCAAACTAGGCCATGAAAGGGAAGAGACATATGACGAACAAAGCAAATCAACAACCAAGGCAGAAACACAGGGCACTGAGAAACACTTTCCTTCAATGAACGAGTTCGAAAAACAAGTTCAACAAAGCACAGGTACATTTTTAATATATATATATATATATATATATATATATATATATATATATATATATATATATATATAAATATATATATATATATATATATATATTATATATATATATATATATATATATATATATATATATATATATATATATATATATATATATATATATATATATATATATATATATATATAAAACATAAATTGATACTGTATCCTTCTGCTAGAATATGCTAAACTAAAGAAATTTTACAAATTGCAGCTGATTTAAGTGACAAACTAGAGCAGAGAGTAGAACGTCTTGAAACAACGCTAACTTTTCTAAAAGTTGGAATAAAAAAAACTGAAGATGATGTGACCGAAATAAAACAATGGAGCGAAACGTATACAACAGAACAAATTGAAATAAGGAAACAAATAGAACACTTGGCTATAAAACAAAAACATGCAATGCATAAAGCAAATTAACGAACAGAAAAGTATAACGGATAAAATGAACGAAGAATTAAAACAATTAAATGAAATAAAACAATGGAGAAAAACACTTATATCAGAACATAACACTCTGGCGAGAAAACTTGAAGAATTGTCTCAGCAAGAAACAGATAATAAAGAAAAGATTATAGAGCAAATAAAAGAATCCAAAACCAGAATAAATGAGTTGAATAAAGAAATTAAGACACTAAAAGAAAAACAACCAAACGCAAGCCAAGCACACGAAAGCACGAATAACGAGATGAAAAATGTTGACATAATATTGAAAAAAATAAATGAAGAATTAAAAACTCACACAAAAAGCATAGAGAAATTAAATCAAGATATTAAACATCATCACAGCGTCATTTCTCACTTGAGGGAAGAAGGAAACAAAAACGAAAATACGAAAACTGAAGTAGAAAAGTTAATTTCAATGGTTTGTACCTATTTTGATTTTTTTTAACATATTGTATGCTATTTTATTAAATTAGTTTTGTTGCTTGTATTACATTACTTAATAGCAACACATTTTAATAACTACAAACCTAATCACATGGATTTTGTTTTTATTTCATTTGGTAATAAAGCGGGAGTGATCTCTCCCAAACTTTATCGAATATTCTTATATAACACTCTTGGGGATGGCAACTCTGGAATAGACTTGATCGAACAGGAAGTTTTCACCAAGAAAACATAGCATTAATGCAAGCATCATATGAAGTTGCATTAGAAATTGCCAAGCAATAAAACACCTGACGCAATAGGAGAAAATCTCATTAAACCCTGCATGTTGAGGATGGTGAAATTAAATCTTGGGGATTTCAGTGCAGTAAAGATGCAACAAATATCTATGTCTAATAATACAATTCAGCGGCATTTTGCAGACATGTCCATAGATGTTGAAAAACAAATTTTGAATGAAATTTTACCATTGTTTGATTTTCTTTTTGATGAATCAACATACGTGAGTTCATGTTACAAGTTGTTTGTCTTTGTGAAGTATACACATTTGGATGATAGCAAAGAAGAGTTGATATTGTGACGTGGCTTCGATGTTCATAACGAACGCGTGTAGGCACGGAGAGTTTAAAGTGACATTGGCCTCCCCGAAAAAGTGTGTGAACTGTAGCGTGTTAGCAGTGTGTAGTGAAACCTGAGCGTAGCATGTTGGCAGTGTTTTCTGTTTCAATGTTCACTGTGTTTCTCTGTAGTAGTTGGGAAATTATAATTGGCTGTTACAATTGAAATGTGTGGATTCCAAAATAAAATGGAAAGCTGAGTGTAACAATATTTTGTGAATAATTCATGGAGAAAATGTATACGTTTTTTTTAAACTGGATGATTACAATGGGAAAACAACTGTGAGGTTTGTACGGATAGTGCGTCTTGTTTGGGTCAAAATCAGGCTTTCAATAAATAAAGTAAAATATTTAGTTCCCTAACTAAGGGGGATTCACTGGTATGCCCTGGTCAGCAATACTTTTCCGACTCCATTGCTAATAAAAGTCGTAAATTATACTAATATCTGGAGCCATTTACATCAGTCTGTTTAAAGGACTGTTTAAAGACATTCATCACGAGGTTCTACACTATATTACGCTTGTTGTCAAAAGGGTGTGAATCGTGTTTGAATTAAAAGATGATATCAAGTTGTTCTTGGATGGGCAAGGGAAACAAGACGTTTTGATGTATTTCAACTACAAAGAGTGTGTGGGGATATTTGCATATTTATCAGATTTGAACAGCAACATAAGCTTAATCTGAAAATGAACGAATATGACCTCTTTTCATGATACTCTCTTGGAAGTTTTATCAAAGATGCAAAATTGTTGAAGAAAAAAAAAATGTTGGAACTATTGCCATGTTTGAGAAACACTACAGTGTGGAAGATAAATCTGATTGTGAGATAAATACAAATTTGATAGAGCATCCTGGGCATCTTGAATCTCATGAAAAACCAACTGCGGCTTTATATTCCCTTAGCTGAAAGAAAAAGAATCTGCATTGACACGTTACCAACCCTTTGTTTCCCTGGATGTTGCCAGCATTCCCGATAAATTACAAAATGAATTCTAAAATTTGCGGAATCATTCCGCGTCACGTATCGTTTTAAATTTAAAAAAAACTGCTCAAACAATTTTGATGTGGTATGAATCGTTCATATCCAAACGTGAAATAGATTGCCTTTTGTGTTTTATTTCCTTTTTGTGTCTACATAATTTTAAGAGAATATATTTTCAACACTTCTCCAATTAAAAACACAATAAATCAATTAATTAAATGCTGAAAATGACAGTAGGTTGGCGTTAACAAAAACTCAAATGCGAATGTAGAGGCATTTTATTTCACCCATCGCATTAAAACAGTTGTCAAAAATAATTGATATTGAAAGTCTACTAGAAAATCGTATTTTAATGCTTATCAATTTCCTCACTAATTTTGACTTTTTAATTTTATGGGGTCGCCTTTTTATAAAAGGGAGTCGCCACTAGAAAATGTTGGCAAATACTTCTCTATGCTCTGTAAACGAGAAAGTAATAATGTTAGGTCAACTAGATTTTATTATTCTACTTGTGGAATAGCGTCACGGACAAGATCTTAAACCAAAGATTGATGCCCCGTTGAAAATTTATATCAAAAGTTTAATTTAAACTTGGCCAGTAGACAGATGAACAAACAAAAGGTAACATATTTAGTACCTATAGCGACTTTTCCCTTTGAGAGTCTTCAAAGTCCCTGTATCTTCCGACAAGCACTTAACAGGAATATTGTTTGAGACCAATATAAACATATTAACAAAGCTGCTTTTGTTCTTTGGTAGACCCAATTTTGCAACATTAAAAAATAAAAAAAATTATTATTTTTTTCAAGTTCATTGTTTTTGTAAATTCGTAGAATTCAATTTAAAAAAAAATAGTTATACAATTTTTTAAATGATGAGGTGCCATTTCTTTAATTTTAGCATTCTACCCTGGAAAATGATGTTTTGAAATTGTCAAATGATGTATATTTAATTAGTAAGTATGTTATGATTAGCAAAAAAACAGAATTGTATCGATCGCTTCTAACAATGTCCGATTTGAAAAAGAAAATCTTCTTTAAAAAACAGTTCGGTATATAAAGTATTAAATAGGGCTATCCGGAGTAAAATAAGTTGAAAACGAAACAAAATATTAAATAATATAGTAATTGATTATACCTAAAATATTTTGCAAAACTGCAACGCTGTTCCATATAGGGTTAAATAATAAACATACACACAATAGTGAACAGATAAACAGAAAATTGTGCAAATGCATATGATCAAACTCTAACATGTACTTTCCAACAGAGACCCGTGTATGTCAGCCTTACATCTGTCAAATTTACCTGGCTAACAACACACCAGTGACTACTGGATCAATTCTTTCAACATTCCTTAGCGTGTGGGAACCTAACGGCAGCCATTTTAATAAAACCACAGGAAAACTTGCAGCACCAGATGATGGTTTTTATCTTGTAATAGTAACGCTGCAGGAATATGAGGCTAAACTGATTCAAATCTGTGTGTACACGGGTGATACATGTGTTAAGAGCATCCTTGTTAACTCAGCCAACACATTTGCAGCTGGATCAGCTCTTGTTTACTTGAGGAAAGGCCAGGCACTTTATTTTAAAGTGGGCCTGGCTGATGATGGAGCCAAGCTACAAGCAGGAAGTGGATTTACTATAATTAGATTGTAAATTTAAAAATGCTTATGAAATAAGTAGTCTGACGCTTATTTAACGCGGCATCATTTTCGATTGTTTTTGATCATCCAATGTGTCCATATTGTGTGCATGTGCACACCGTTTCAATAAGTAGGTTTCACTGTTTGTGGCAGTACTATTATAGAGAAATATGTGAACACACTGAATTATAATCTACCCTTAATTTTTTTAAAGCAAATAGTTTGACTTCTTTTTCGTTTTCTTTTTAAAATACATACAATTAAACATATACAGTGTTTGTTTTTGAGTGTTCAAACATAATTTAATGTTAAGACATTTTAAAGTAGCCATGTGCTTCGCATGCCATTGTTAAATTAACATATACATCATAAAATATTATGTCTAGTCAAGTTAGTACGTTAATGTAACATAATATGCTTGTCGCATATAGTTTGCAGCACCACTTTCTGTCATAGTTTAATCATGTCAAGATTTAAAGATGTATGTGTGAACTTGAACATGTCTATGATACAGATGTTTTCTACTCCGCATAGTCACGTGCATGTAACAGATGTGCTCGTTATGAAGAGCTTTAGGATCCCACACTTTTCGGTTACAAATTGAACTTTTGATCAGGTACGTGGATGCTACGGTCTAAATTTTATCGAACACTAGTAATATTTGTATCATCACACGATGGTTTTTATCTTGTCCGTGCGACAAATGATAAAAACGCCGATAAATTCATTGGAGTTGGTGTGTGGTCTTGCGACAGTTATTGTACGTCTATAAAAGTTAAGTGTGTCTATACTAGCGCTGCTGGGTCATTGGTTATTGACATGAAGAAAGGTCAAGAACTTTAAATTTTTTTACGCAGACCAAGACCCAAGGTTACCCTGCTAAATTAGTTTTATTATCGTTAGGTTATAGAAGTACATCACAAACCATGGTGGATGGTGAACTCACAAAACAACAAAACTTGTAATCACAAACTTGCGAAATTTAAAAAAAAAACGATATTTTACAGAAATCTCCCCTGGAGTGTTCTAACCCGGTGTAAATCCGCTATAGACTTTTACTTTTATAATTCGAATCGCGCCCTGCCGGGGCGCCATCCCTGCGAATATGACATTTTATTTTCGCCGATACCTCCCCAGGAGTATTCTCAACAACTTCCAAAAGTTTCATGGGGATCGGATGGAAGATGTGGGTAATGAGTAAAAGACAAACAGACACACACACACATACATACATTGCTTTATATATATATTTATATATATATTTATATTATATATATATATATATATATATATATATATATATATATATATATATATATATATATATATATATATTCACCTAATCCTAATTATAGATCACAATATTTGAATTAAAAATGTTAATGGCTCTTTGAAAGCTGGGAAATTATGTAAATGGTAACTTTCGTCTCAAAATTTTGCCGACCCCTGTCATAGACCCATTAGATAGCGTCGTTTAATTTGTTTGTGTTTGGTATAGTATTAATCTTAAAATTAAAATGAAAATATCAAATAAAACAGACAAAAATGATTTATATTTGTTGAAAGTCTCAGCTAAAGTATACAGATCGGAAAAACTTCAATGATTGTAAACATTTGGCTGTAGATTTGATTTTCACTACAGCTGAGCTTTTTGATTTTGCGATGTAAGGCTCTGTGCTAACATACATATAGACACACACACACACATATACATATATATATATATATATATATATATATATATATATATATATATATATATATATATATATATATATATAAGTATATATATATATATATATATATATATATATATATATATATATATATATATATATATATATATATATATATATATATATATATATATATATATATATATATATATATATATATATATATTTTTATATATATATATATATATATATATATATATATATATATATATATATATATATATATAAATGTTAATATTAATATATATATATTAATACGTATATACTTGATAGCTAAATAGATGTTTTAATTATTATATGTGTTAATGTATGTTAATTTACAGACACAATGTTACTGAATACAAACAAAAAAAAATGATTTTAACACAGAAAAAGTTTTTTTTAAAATTAAAGGCAGTTGTAATCAAAATGACAACAGTTCTTTGCAGTATAATAATATAAAAATTCTTTAAAATTTATAACAAATTAATTTTTTTAATACACAATACAAATGTTAATGTTTGTTAAGTGAACTCATTCTAACAATCTTTTTTTAAATAGTTCATAATCATGTAGTTCCAGGTATAAGTTGTTTGTTTTAACAATTAACATGAAAATTATGATTAGACCATACACCTAGTGCGTGATAAAAGATATTTAAACAAAGCAGTCTTATAGTCTATTAGAGATATGAGCTTAGTGGCGTCAAGTATGACACATTATTGGTGAGCACATTGAATAAGCTAGAACTCCCAAATGATGACTAAACAAATAACATATAAACCACTTAAGTTTGTGCGGACATGTAGTCTACACACATAGAAAGTGGTTAGCGTGTGTATTACATGGTGGTTACATATTTTATTGTTTGAGAATTTACCATCCACCATATTTCGTGTTGTACTTCTATAAACTAACGATAGTAAAACTGTTGTAGCAGGATAAAGCTGCGCCTTTATCTGCGTAAAACACTTTAAGGTAAAGTTCTTGACCTTTCTTCATGTCAACAACCACTGACTCAGCAGCGCTAGTGTTGGCACATTTCACTTCTATAGTCGTAAACCACTCGTCTCTAGCCCGAACACCAACTATGATCTGTTTATCTTCCCTTTCATTAAGAGTCACACAGACAAGATATAAACCATCATGCGGTGATACAAATTTTCCTGTTGTTTGATTAAAATGTTGACCGTTATATTCACGTACTTCATAAAATGTTGAAATAATTGATCCATGACTAACAGGTGTGTGTTCATCAAGCTGTACATAACAAGCATATCTGTTACATACACGTGACTCTGTTGATTAGAAAACATATGTATGATGTACACGTTTAAAGTCATACAATGACATGCTCTGACTTTTTGATTCATACAATGTGCATTTACATTTTAAAAAAGAAAAATGTGGATGATCATTATCTATTAAATTTACATAATTGTATCTTAGACTACAAATTTCCAATATTGGTTTAGTATCGCCCTAGGTTAGTTTAACGTTTAGTACAAATTAAAAATATCAGTTTAGTACCGCCATAGGTTAGTTAAACGTTTAGTACGTGTGTATCACGACACGTAATATGTAACTAGCATAAAACAAACTACAGCTCTGTAAATGTCTTACTGTACTAAGGTAGACCGCTGTAGGTCGACCCCCGGCATACCAGGTGGTGTAATGTAACGGGTGAGGAAACAAACACCTGACGGAAACCCACGGGTCTAGAGACTGGCACTATGGGTGAAGTGAAATGTTCCATTCTTTACCACGTTATGGTCTGTCTGGCTAACGAACATCACGTTATGGTCTGTCTGGCTAACGAACATCACATTATGGTCTGTCTGGCTAACAAACATCTCGTTATGGTTTGTCTGGCTAACGAACATCACGTTATGGTCTGTCTGGCTAACGAACATCACGTGATGGTCTGTCTGGCTAACGAACATCACGTTATGGTCAGTCTGGCTAACGAACATCACGTTATGGTCTGTCTGGCTAACGAACATCATGTTATGGTCTGTCTGGCTAACGAACATCACGTTATGATCTGTCTGGCTAACCAACTTTGCGTTATGGTCTGTCTGTCTAACGAACTTCATGATATGTCTGTCTGGCTGTATGATTTGTTATAAACAAATTTTAAGAAAAACTCACCTATGAGATTCAAATCTTTGGACAATTTTGAAATAGCATCTTCAATATTTTCCAGCTAAAAAAGGTTTTATAAAATGTTTGAAAATATCACATAGTTACGTAGAACATAAAATAGCTGCACTGATTTTAACAGGGTATGGCAGCTTGTAATAATAGAACATAATTTAAAACATGGATTATTTTTTATTATAATTTTTTTAACGTTTCGCTTAATTTAGAAAATATGCTACTAACTGGTCTATTAACAGAGTGTTAATAATTAATGCACAATTATCAATTTATAGATATATTTATATATTTATATTTTATCAAATTACTACACATATACCTTTGTTATTCTTTTTTCCCTTGTTTCCAAGTTCTGGTTAAAGATTTGAATCAGTTTGTCAATGGGCATCAACCTTTGTTGGAGGAGTTTGTACATTAGACTGTGCTAAAGAGCAGAAAATTGAATTTTTATTATTTTTAATGCACATTATAACTAACAAAAACATGTGTCTTAAAATTACTAATAATATTACAGGTATAACTGTCGATAAAGTTACTTAGTTGTGTTTTAATTCAACCAGGTTATAAAATGTGAAATACGTTATCTGGCCAGTATGTGTAAAATTGTGTTAGCACATCATTATCAATTTTACCTTTTCTATTTGAGTTGATGTATTAAGCTTGATTTTATAACTCTCTTCTTGTAGGGTAGACATCTGATCTGAATGTCTTTTAATTTCTTGTGTTATACTCTCAGTTGTATCTGCGTGATCTTGCATCTCTTTACTTATTTTAAGTAAGTTGTTTTCATATTCTTTCATATCTAGAGACAGTTTCTCTAGTGTTTTGTTTGACTTGGATTCTTTTTCTTTTAAGCTTTCAATTTCTTTGTTCAGCTCCTTTACTTTGTTATCTTGTTCACTTATTTGTTTTCTGAGGTTTTTAAAATTCAGCTTTTGTTTTTTAGTCAGTTGTTCAATTTTTAGCTCCATGTCATTCTTTTCTGTTACAAAGTTGTTTCTCCATTGATTTATTTCTGACGTATCTTCTTTAGTTTTTTGTATTGAACTTTGTAGACAAGATATGCTGCTTTCTAAAAGCCCCAGTCGAGTGAATACTTCTGTAATGCATAGCAAATTATGTAGTAGCAGCGTTTCAATTACAATAGAATAAGTTAAATGTTTGCACACTTCTTATTCTATTTGAAACTTTTTAACTTAGCAAAAAAAATATTTTATACCTTCTTGATTTTCAACTAGTTTAGTCACTTGATTTGTTGATTCACTTTGGTCAGGTGTCTCTGTTTTTGTAGGCTCTAGAGTAGACTGAGCTAAAGATGGCGTTCTACCATCAACATCTACAAGCTCTTCATTTTCGCCTTTTGGTAAAAGTATACATAATAAGTTGAATTAAAATTGCAATTCGTTTTTTAGCTTTAGTACATGAGTGATTAAATAAATTACATATTCTATGTTTACTGGAAATGTTTCAAGCAACATCTAAAAAGGCCGTGGTCGCTGATGCAAATTCATAGCAAAGCTCTATGTATGTGATAGACGGGTTGTGATTTATGTCTTCCATCCATGTTTTACTTGTTTCATATAAGAATGTTCGAGAAATTTTGGGGGAGATCACTCCCGGTTTATTTTCAGTAGAAACGCTACACTACTGAACACACAGTCTACATGATCGTGGGCTTTGAAACTTTAAATAATAAAAACTATTAGAGTACTGACTTAAAATATATGACGTCACATCCAACAAGGCCGTGGCTGCTGTGTCCAGTTCTTGAGATAGCTCGATGTAGCTGACAGATGATTGGTCAGTTTTTTCTTCTAGCCACGCCTTACTTTTTGTAACAACCTGGTGAAAGCAATTAACATAATTGTCAATTGGTCACGTGTTGTAGTGCTATATTCCTAAACATGTGATGTTGTTCTGTGTTTTTTAACACATGCACTTCGAAAAACGCTAAACCTGCTTTATCGTGAATAAAATGATTTTTACATATTAAGTACTACAAAGAATTTTTAGTTTGTAATGACTTACATTTTTTATATTTCCCAAAACAGGTTCCAGAACTTGTATCTGTTCTTCCAAATATTTCTTGTGCTCCGTAACAAGCTTGACCTGAATTCTTGTAGGCATCTAAATGTTAATAAATACTAAATTAAAAAAAATATGTTAACTTTGTCATCATCACTAAACTAAACTAAAGCAGTGTTTCTTCTGGCAGATATGCTCGATCACTGCCAACACTAAAAATTAAGAGCGAAGAAGAAGAAGAAGTGTTTCTTCAAAGTACCCCCCCCCCCTCGAAGATAGTTTACCGCCCCCATAACGAAATATCGAAAATATATACTTTTAACAGTGTCTGCCTCCCCTCCCTTGAAAGTTTAGTTCGCCAACCTCCCCCCGCCCCCGAAAATTTCAAGTGCCACCCTTTATCTACTGACTGTACCATATATAAGCCTATCTCTTAAATTATTTTAATTTAAGGTGAATCTTTATAATTATTTATCCTAATATATAATTCCCCATGTGCGCACTTCTCTCTCTCTCTCTCTCTGTCTCTCTGTATGTCCGCAAAATATTTTCGCCGGACATCACGTCAGAAACGGCAGCGATATATGGTGAACTTTATACGGACTTTTGTTGAAAATAATATGTTAGATGTTTTAAATGTATAACCACAATTTTATTAAAAGAAGAAAAATAAAAATTAAAGGCGTATTCGAATGTAGAGAAACAGTGTTATTTATGCAACCGGAAAAGCATTAATAGATGTGAAAAAGAACGCATAAAACTGTGACGTCACTATTGCTTATACATTAACTAATGACGTCATCTGCCGTGTTTAGAATAAAAAGAAATGAACTATTTCATTCAAATTTGATTTAGATCTACGTACACTATGAAACGTATACAATACAATTTTTCCAGCCTAAACTCATAAAATTTATTTTATTTATTTGGATTCTAGATCTAGATATTCTAGATTCATCTATTCAAAGAATACATTTCTATACTAAAGTATTTCAGGCCTTAATTACTTTATTGAAATCTTTGTTTAGCTATGCCATTTGCTAATCTCTATAATATATAAAGCAAAGTTGTCGGGTGCCCGAAAGGGCACTTCTCGGCGCCGTAGGCGCTTCAAATTTGGCAGGATCTTGCCTTGGGGCGACAGAACACGGGGGCCGGTTGGCCGAAAAGTCTACGATGATGGGGTCAAAACTGACCTCGACTGACCGGCGCCTTATATGAGCTATAAATCGAAAAAAAATGTCCACGGAGGAACCTCTTCATAACTCCTGAGGTCGTAGACCGACCCTCGGGCGAATTAATTAAGCATTCAAATTCTCAATGTTTTCGAAAGCCTAAGCAAAGCTGGGCAGCATGAGTAGTATTTTTATAATCTTCCTTGAGTCAAGTATACTTTTAGTTTACCAAAAGTAATATAATAATTCATTGTTTAAGAAAAAAAAATTCATCCAGAAATTAACTCAGTAAATAAAGAGTTAATTATAACAATGAAATAAAATCTAATATATGATTTATAAAACTACCAAGACTAGGTTTTTGTCCTAAATTATTAAACTATAACTGGCAATCCACAATTAAATGAAAACTACTTTAAATAAATATTGTTATATTTCTTTTTTAGATATGTTAACTAATGTAGTTAATTATGTAATACATAATACGTTTTCCTTGGCTTCACTTATGTTATTTCCTGCTTGCTAAAATTATACACTTGGGTATTTCCGTTTTTCACTTTCATTATCTATCCAGCGTTGTGATGAACTATTTTACAATTTGTCTGTGAATTGCCTAAATATACAGTAATAAAATACTTTTTTTTATAAAACGACCTACATACTTTTCTATTAATAAGTATATTTTAAGGAAATTATATATTATCAAGCTTTATAACTAAGAAAATATAATTATATATAACTAAGTAAGAATTAAGGAAGTAGAAGAGCTTTTGATTTTGTTTGAAATTCATTATTTTAAGGTTGTTTGGTTATATTAAAAGGAAATGCTGTTTTAAAAATAGATGAAAATAGATTAAAGATTAGCAGTACCTTAAGTAGGGCTATTTTTGTTGTGAGGAATCAAACGACTGGAATTTTGTAGAGTTGCAGAACATCCTCCGTTAAATAATAGCAGGATTTCCCGAAACGCGTTGTCAATATGAGAGTTATCTCTCTTGTTGTGGTGATTTAACTACGTGTAGATCAGCCACAACAAGAAATCAAAACAACGTATTCTAAAGGTCAGTAAATAACTGTAGATCTCAAACACGTCGTTTTAATTATTTGCATAGCAACTAACGTGGGTAAAGTTCAAATGCGAAATTGAATTCAATTTGTCATATGTAGAGGGCGTAAAATGCAAGTTTAAGCTGAAACTTAAAACAGTCGTTTACGTAACATTTGTGTCTCACAGTTTAAATATTCCACTGGGGCTATTGCATCTGCAGTCGTATGCTATCAGGGGTGTAGCAACACAAGCCGGCCCCGGGGCGAACTACCAATTTTGTGCCCCCTCCCACTTAAATTATATTTATTGACGTTAGTTAAAAAATCTCCCCCTCCCCACCCCACCCCCCTCTTTCCCCACCCCAGCACCAGTTGAAAAGGTTGGTACGCTTTTTACCAGTCACTATTTTTTTAAAGACACACTTAGACTATTCAATTCCTCATCTATCAATGTTTTCTACGCGATTTGACGCCCAATTAAGGTCGGCAGCCTCCCCACCCGCCCTACACTAACTACACCACTGTATGTTACATGCATTTATTAGCTCTTTAGCGGTCAGCAATGTAGAGGTGCCACTTTATAAAACACATGTAGATGATAATTTCAAATGAACATTTATTTAGCCTATCTATTACTTACATGTAGATGTCTGAGTACAACCCCACCTATGAATCTTTGAATATTTTGTTGGAACAGTTAGAGAAGATGCATGTTCATGTCCAAAATAATTTAAGTCATTTTGTCATACAGGTTAGTCTAATTTATATGTTTTTAAAGCACTTATATACTTTAAATCGAATATATGTGATTTATAAACCTGTATTTAAAAATATTTATATTTTCTTGTATGGTTTATGCCTTTGCTAACAATGAGCATTTATATTAACTAAACTAATAAGGTATCAAGATTTGGAAACTATTTTCAACTAGTCTGTTTGCTCTAATTAATTAGATCAAACTAAAAACAAGGAACTGGATGGATAAAACGTCTGACAATGATATGACATTTAAAGATGTAATTTCCATGGTAACATGCGCGAATGCTATATTGATAAAACATCTAGATATAACAGCTGGTAAACTGAACATGTGTATCTTGCTGTTAGATTGGCTGCTCTAGTGCTATGTTCAACTTTTGGTTTTAGTTCTTTACTCTCAGTTTTAAAATATAAATTGTGTAACATGTAACAGAACATTTAAGTATGGCATTTAACTATTATTTTAGAGAATAGTGTTTATTTAATGTTGAGCATACACAAAGCAAGAGTTTTTTAAAACAAATATTGGTTAATATATTTAATTTAGATTGATTAAGCATTTAGTAAACCAAATCAACGTTTAAAGTGAGAGTGACTTTCGGTCTTGATAAAAACATATTTGTTTTAGAGCTTTTTTTTCTAAATTAAATTATAGATTCTTACCAACGAAAGACTTTTTTATAAGTTTCAAATAACTCATCGTTAGACCAAACATTTTTTACAGAATGCAACATGCAGTCTACCAAGACAGTTGTACAACACTAGAAAGCTGGTGTAACAGACACCAAGGAATCTCAAACTGGTGAGAGTGGTTTCTGAAATTAAGAACAAATATTAGCTTAATAGGTGTTGTAACTATTGTCGCCTAGAAGGTTATTTTCTGTTTACATTTAAAACAGTTGTTATAATACACTAGTTTAATTTAAAAGAGTTGTTATAATACAATAGTTTAATTTAAAAGAGTTGTTATAATACACTAGTTTAATTTAAAAGAGTTGTTATAATACACTAGTTTAATTTAAAACAGTTGTCATAATACGCTAGTGTAATAACTATTTTGTTGTTGCTAGTCTGTGGAAGCATCTCTCATTTTGTTTATGTAATGTGTTTAAACACTGTATACTATATCTACAAACTAGAATCAATCTTATTCAAATCAGATTTGTCAAATCGAGTGAAACTTGTTGAGAAAGCTACAGTTTCTCTTCAAGGAACAAAAAAGACTGAAGATGACGTGTCAAAACTGAAACAATGGAGAGAACACATGCTAATATAACAGAGCGACAGCACAACAAGAATTGAACAATTAAGTAAAATGCAGAAACAAAACACTAGAGAAACTGTCTCTAGATAAAAAAAAGAATATGAAAACAACCTACACAAACGAAATAAATTAATGCAAGTTCACACTGATATTTAATAAAATAATGGCCGACGTAACAACCAGCATTACTAAATTACAATTAAAGGTAAGTCAAAATAAAATTACCTTTTCTAAATACTTGTGTACACCATTCTTCAACTCATCTGTAATTACAAGTTTAAATCTGAACACAAATCTAATCAGCTGAAGTAGATAAAGTCTAAAAGGCTTACTGTTTCAGTTATGAAACTGACATTTCGTTCAACATTTGTTTTAAGGCTATTAGGTGTCACCCCGTAAGGTTCGCCCCCCGTCTCACGACGCCTCTGTACACACATACAGGTAGATTAAACCACAATTTTTAGAGAATGTCAATTGTTTCCAGGCATCTCTTCCTACCTCCTCCCCCCTCCTCTCCGAACGAAACGAATTTATATAAAAAATATATGCTTTTAACAGTTTCCGCTCCCCGGAAATTTAGTTTCCTCTCCCCCCCCCCTCTGTGATATATCAGATTTTAATTGTTTGCTCATTATAATTTGACATACTTTGGACTTTTTATTTGTAAAATATCTGTATATTGTGAGGTTAATCTTGAAATTATATTTAGGTAATAAATGTAATGATATCAGGAGCGTGACAAAGTGTAGATGTCTATTACTTGTTTGTTTACCGAAGGAGATATCATTCATTAATAAAACTTAAGGCAAAAGATCCTGCATACTGAAATATAAATTAAAACCATATGTGTAACAAGTCATTTAGTAAACCAAAACTCTTAATTTAATACTGCACACTCATATGCATACGAAAATATACACGAATTAATACAAATATTTGAAAATGTGGCTTCACTGTTGTTTTGTTATAAGATTAATCCCTTGGGCAAATTTTAAAAATGGTTACAACCTCGTGTTATATATGAAAAGCCTGCATTTTGTGCTGGGTGTAGTATCTATACGTAATGTTTATATTAAGCATGTAGGACAGTATCAGGATGTATTTACGATGCGTCATGAGAAAATGTCAACAATCGACAGAATGTGGTTACTTGAGAAATCAAAATGAACGTTACACGCAAGAAAACTCTAACAATGTTCTTATGAAAATGTTTAGTTATATTTATCTTAAGCAAGATTGAAGATACATGCATTAATCAAAACAAACGTTCTCTAAACACAAATTATCGTTAAATTTCAAATTAAATATTTTATCTCTGGAAGAAACACTGCACGTAACTAGTAGAATGGGTTTAGCTAATTATACTCATGCTTGGGACTGGATTACACACACTTTTTTAAAGATTGTAAATCAGCTTGAGAAACTTGAGGAGAGCAGTAAAAGCAAACGCATAGCTTCATTTTATTTTAACAGGTTAATTTTCTTCTATGTTTTCATGGGAAAATCAAATTATGCATTTCTCTTTAAATAATATTGTCTATGTTATCTAACTAAAAGTTACGATTATTATTATACAGTCATCAACAAACTTTTATAATTTGCTGATGCTAAACCATATATATATTGTTTACATCAAGAAACTTTGGGCGTTAGTCCCTCAATAGACTGATGATTTTAAGGACAGTGGTACACTGGTCTTTTATGACAGTAAATAGAACAACAGCATAAACAGGCTATAAATTTGTTTCGGTAATTGATTTGTCTGTTATATTACAGAGGGATTTTAATTGTTTGCTCATTGTAAATTGACATACTTTGAACTTTTAACTTGTAAAATATATGTATTTTGTAATTATAATCTTGTAATTATATTAAGGAAATAAATTTAATTATATCATGAGCGTGACAAAGTGTAGATGTCTATAAACATATGACCAAATATCCTGCGTACTGAAATATAGATTAAAACCGTATGTGTAACAAGTCATTTAGTAAACCAAAAAATTATAAATTTTATACTCCATATTCATATGCATACGAAAATGTACAAGAATTAATACAAATATTTGAAAATGTGGCTTCACTGTTGTTTTGATATAAGATTAATCTCCTGGGTAAATAAACAAATAATTTTTTGTTACAACTTCGTGTTATAGACGATAGGCCTGCTGTGCTGGGTATAGTATCTATACGACATTAAGACTGTACGACCATTTTAGGATGTGTTTACGGTGCGTCGTGAGAAATTGTCAACAATCGACAATATATGATTACTTGAGAAATCAAAATGTACTTCACACGCAAGAAAACTCTAACAATGTTTTCTATGATAATGTTTAATTATATTTATCTTAAACAAGATTGAAGATACATGCATTAATCTTCGTGCACCTTGATAGTGGTTTTGTAAAACATTTTTGTGTTTGTGCTTCTGTTTTCTTACTTGTTGAGTTTGCGTTTGTGTTACGTTTTCGTTTGCATTTTCAAATGTTTATTTTGGATTTGGTTGGTTGTGGATAAAGTTAATTTGAAAATGCATGTGCTGTCGTTTGCGTTGATAGAACTAGGAATTAAAACGGAAGATGGATTAGCTTTTGTACTACAGCGAGAAAAAGCAGATGAAGAGAAAGCTGCTAAAGAAGAAAAGGCTAGAGAAGAGAAAGCTATTAAAGAGAAAGATGAAAGAAAAGAAGAAGAGAAGGCTAGAGAAAAAGAAGATAGGGCTAGGAGGTTAGAAGAAAGAACTTGGAAATAAGATAATGAAAATAATATAGCAGCAAAGAAAGAAGAAGATGACAAAGTAATGAGAGAATTAGCTGCTGAGATAGAAATAGTGCGTAATAGATCAAGAGCTATTACAGACATGCAAAAAGAATAAGAAATGTCAGAAGTAGATAAAGCAGAGGAGACTGTACAACCAAAAGGAAAGAGGAAAAAAAGAAACAGAAAATAGAGAGCAGATAAAAGGGCTGAAACTATGGAAGAGCAAGTACGCCCACATGAGCTAGCATATGAACAAGAACTATTAGAAATGAAAGCTATAACAGACACAAGAGGACCAAAATTAGAAAGTCAACAGGCAGAACTTAAAGCTGAACTTAAAGAAGAAAATATTGACAACCTTAAGATTGACTCTTTATTGACTGATACGCAGGTACTCAAGAATATTAGTAGAAGTTGTATCGTAAGTCCATCAGAGAATGGCAGTCAACTAGAAATAAGTCTATCATTGAATGGCAGTGATGATTTAATAAGTCCATTGGAGAATGGCAGTAATAAGGATAAACTAATGATTAAAGAATCAGTCAACGTAATAAGCAACAATGAAGATAAAGTACCTATAGAAGATTTACTTAGAAAATTGGAGTTAAATAATTTATAATTATTATAAAGACGATATAGTAGAACTTAAGAATAAATTTAACAAAGAAGTAATGAAATTAACACAGAAATTTATGTGTGAATTAGAATCAATAAAGAAGTACAAGGAAGTGAAGGAAGATAAAACAATAATTAGAAACTACAATGTCAATAAAGCACAGACTAAAATCAAAAGAAATCTAGCAAACTATGGATACAGTCACCATGTTAATAAGAAGCAAAAATCCAGATGTTTTTACTGCGGGAAAACAAGCCATTACCAATATCAATGTTGGTATAGGTTGGCAAATCAGAAAATTATGTACAAAGAAAGTCATGTGGGAAATACAGCAATATTAAGTGTTTAAGAAAGAATGTATCAAGTTCCAATCAGAACTAGAATAGTGTGAACAAGTATACTAATGAAAGATACCGAACCAAGACATATTATGAGAGGCCAAGGCAATGCCATAATATTTGTATTAAGTTGGTTGATGAACCAAGAGAACGAACACAAATTAAGAAAACTACTGACGTTGTTCAGAAACCAGAGGAGAATAAGGATAATGGTCAAGAAAAACCTAATATTAAAACAAATGAAGTGAGACAAGTTACAAGAAATCCAGTTAATCAATATGGTAGCAAGGTTAGAAGCTACAAATACAATTTAAGGGAGAGATGGCAAGCAGGTCATCATCCATTACAAAAGGATTATTTGAGTGGAATGTTATGCCCTTTGATCTAGTAAATTCAACAGCAACATTCTCCAGATTTATGAGAATAATGCTGGCAGATATGTCGTACATTTTGTAGATGACATATGTTTTCATTCCAAGGATATCAAGACACATATACATTCGGTTAGAGAGGTACTAACAATTTTAAGGGAGCATGGCGCGACTATTGCACCCGAAAAGTTGAAATTTGCAAATGAAGAAATGGATTTTTTGGGATTCAAAGTAGGCAAAAATCAAATTAGACCTACTGACGTAAATAAAAATAAAATTCTCAATTTATAGATACCTAAAACCAAGAAAGAATCCAAAGGTGTATTGGGTCTATTTAATTTCTACAGCAAATTCATACCCAAGTACTCAGATATATTCTACCTCTAAGACAGCTAATTACCAAGGACAGCAGTAGAACAATAGGTTGGTCTAAAGAATGTCAAGATGCTTTACAGCTAATAAAGCAGTACTTTGAACAGGAAGTAACGCTTACTGCACCTAACTTTGATAAGACACTAACACTAGTAACGGATGCTTCAAATTATGGATTAGGTGCATGTTTAATGCAAGAAGTGGACAAAGTACTACGGCCTATTTTTTATCTAAGTGGGTCACTGAACAAAACAGAACAGAACTATTCTACAGTGGAAAAAGAATGTCTCGCCATTGTATGGTCCATGACCAAACTACAGAAATATTTATTAGGAAGGGAATTCATCCTTCTTACAGATCACAAGCCATTGATAGCTCTAAACAACAAAAGGATAGCCAACAGCAAAATAAACAGATGGTCATTGATTTTGCTGGACTTCCAATATGAAATAAAGTCTATAAAAGGGAAGGATAATGTAGTCGCAGATTTCTTGTCTCGTCAAAATGTTGATAATACAGAAACTGATCCTACCCTACAACACATAAATCAACACTTATACTGAAAATATTGGTAATAAGAATACACTATCAATTGTCAGTGTCTTAATATTATACAGTCTGTAACTGTAATATATGGATATCAAATAATATGTATGAGTAAACATAAATTGTGTACTTTATCAAAAGAATGTAAACAGTATTATGTTTAACCTATTCTATACTCTTAATTAACAGTGAATAAAGTAAACAAATAAAAGTTAGAGACTATTTATTCCGCATAACAATAAGACAGAAGTTTCATTGATACCTGTGGAAGGCATGAATGTTGTTGTGTTTTGACCTAGATGTGACTGAAATGGGTCAACTAGGAGAGACAACAAAGAAAATTACTCATGCGTGGTAATAACATGCCTTGATGATAAGGAAGTTTTTTTACTACATAGGATATAATTATTTAATTTATGAGTTGAATTAAGTCTTTGAGTATTTCAACTATGTGTTATGGTTTTGAAATTAAGTTCTGTATCAGATTAGTTTGGTAACTTATTTAACCCAATTGATGTAGTCTTGTTTATACTATAGTTACTGGGTAATTGAAATGTTAATTTTTTCTCCTATTTGAATATATATTGATGCATTAAATATTAATCATAATGCTTGTGAATTTAAAGTTTTTGTTCAAAACACTGACACATTTTAATTATCAGGTTTAAATCATAAATTGATTTTGTTGAGGTTCTGTGTATGAACAAGCTGATCGTGATTTGTGCCACTGTGTTTTAAAAATTTCTGAACATTTTCTACGTACTTTGAATTAAACTAAACATATTGTCATATAATTTTTTTCAATTTATGACTACAAGTGTTTAGTCTACAAAGAATGTATTTAACTCTACTTTCAGATTTACAAAAATATTTGTTGTCTGGCACATGATCCTGCCCTACCAGTATTGTACTTTGTAAATTTTGTTGCACAAAATTTTATTTGAAGGGGGGACGTGTCACAGACTGTATTATTAGGTATGTTTATTATATTGTGTTTTACATGAAGTTGCATGAATGTAGAGTACCTGGCTAACGGAAGGACTGTCTGAGCGACTCGTCATGTATTTTTCCATGCTTTTGTGTGAGATCGCTCATTGACGTAAGGGGAGAGAATGGACTGTATAAAAGGGGAGCGCAAGGTGAACGAAGGTGCTTGCTGTGAATGTGTAGTAGGATGTCAACACGTTACTTTGATTCTTGATTGTACTTGCACCAGTTGTTTTTCTTCTGCTATGGATTTATCATTTCATTATGGATAGTGTAAATAAGGTTTATAGTTTAAAGTTACTACTATTGCTTGTGCTCTTGTATTAAAACGATCCCCCAACAACAATGGATATTACTGTTGTTACAAGTCTTAACCCTTTTAGAGATTTTAGGTATATGTTTGTCATATATAGTATAGAAAATACAAAGCCATTCAGAAATGGCTAGATCTGGACAATTGTAATTGTATACGTTGCAGAAGGGGGCAGCCAATAAATCCGCAAGAAAAAGATTTTCATTAAATTTTCTAAAAGAGCGATAAATTATAGTGAAGTGTTCCCGGGAAGGTACACATGTTTTCTGCGAAACAGTACAACAAACAGGGAAGTGGTCACTAACATCACAAGAGGGGACACAGACCTTTATTAGATTGCAGTCAGGTGATGCGTAGATGTGATCAATTATTATGTATCATGGTTACATATTTTATTGTTTTGAGAATTTACCATCCACCATGTTTTGTGTTGTACTTCTATAAACTAACAATAGTAAAACTACTGTAGCCGGATAACATTGCGCCTTTATATGCTGCATACACTTTAAAGAAAAGTTCTTCCCCTTTCTTCATGTCGACAACCACTGACCTAGCAGCGCTAGTTCTATTAAATTTAACATCTACAACTGCAAACAACCTGTCTCCAGCCATCACACGAACTGTAATCTGTTTATCTTCCCATTCATGTAGAGTAACACAAACAAGATATAAACCATCATGTGGTGATACAAATTTTCCTGTTGTTGGATTAAAATGTTGACCGTTATATTCACGTACTTTACTAAATGTTGAAATAATTGATCCATCACTGACAGGTGTGGGATCATCAAGCTCTACATGACAAGCATATCTGTTACATACACGTGACTCTGTGGATTAAAAAACATTTATATTTTACATGTTTAATTTCACACATGTTCTGACAATTTGATCAATAATATTTTGAATTGTCGTTTCATTAGTTTATGTTACAAATCCTAAATGTTAACTTATTATATGTTCTTTATATGTAGTTAAAAAAGTAAGGAAAAATGGCAAACCCAATGAAACTATTTTTAACAAAAAATAAAATGCGTATAACAATCCATAAACTTTCACAGTTTTGTCTGAGACACAAATTGAAATCCTAGACCACTAGTTTAATACTGTCCTCAGTTTTTAGTGGTGTTACTTTATCGCGTCCTACGTAATGAAACTACGAGTGTAGTAGGTGTCATAATACGTCACTAAAGGTACAACACATGTTATATTATGCGTTAAAATCTTACAGTCAGTATGTGTTTTCAATATAGTTTAATTTTATAAGGTTTATCTATCAAAACATGAATTACTAGAACTAAAATTATTTTGTGATTCTTATAAAACTCTAAATCAACCGATGATATTTTTTTATATTTGATTTTAGCCTAGGCTTGTATAGGAATCTATCTTAATATTAGAAACATAAAGAGATGATGTGACGTCAATTGCAATTAGTTAATTTTATACTGCAGCCGTGGAAATGTTTTGCTGTACTAGGATAGACCGTTGTAGGTCGACCCCCGACATACCAGGTGGTGTAATGTACCAGGTGAGGAAACAAACACCTGACGGAAACCCACGGGTCTAGAGACTGGCACTATGGGTGAGTGAAATGTTCCATTCTTTATCACGTCATGGTCTGTCTGGCTAACGAACATCACGTTATGGTGTGTCTGGCTAACGAACATCACGTTATGGTCTGTCTGGCTAACGAACATCACGTTATGGTCTGTCTGACTAACGAACATCACGTTATGGTCTGTCTGGCTAACGAACATCACGTTATGGTCTGTCTGGCTAAAGAACATCACGTTATGGTCTGTCTGGCTAACGAACATCCCGTTATGGTCTGTCTGGCTAACGAACATCACGTTATGGTCTGTCTGGCTAACGAACATCACGTTATGGTCTGTCTGGCTAACAAACATCCCGTTATGGTCTGTCTGGCTAACGAACATCACGTTATGGTCTGTCTGGCTAAAGAACATCACGTTATGGTCTGTCTGGCTAAGGAACATCACATTATGGTCTGTCTGGCTAACGAACATCTCGTTATGGTCTGGCTGGATAACTAACTAAGTTTAACAAGTGGTTATGTGCGTGTAATGGAAAGGCAGAGAGTGAAATATTTAGATAAAATGTGAGCGGTTGAGGGTAGGATATTGAAAAAAGGTAATAAAACAAATCAAACATTTACCAATTTGATATCATTTATATGATAGCTCTTACTATTGTTATATTTAAGCGAGAAAATCAAATAGGTAGAATTGTCTTTAAATCACTACTGTTATATAAATATGTTTCAAAACATTTTTTAAACCAAACTTACCGATGCGATGAAAATTGTTGGACAACTTGGAAATAATATTTTCAAGTTCATCCAGCTAATTTAAAATAAAATAAATAAATTAAAGCATCACAATATATTTACATAAGCTATAATGTAGGACTGGTACACTAAATTTCATAAATATTGTCAACTTGTAAGAATATAAAATGATTTAAGTTTTTTTTTCTCTGTAAATACTAAATAGTCTAATAACAGACTTGTCTTGAGTAATGTAGGATTTATCAATTTTGTGAATAATTTGTGTTTTATAAAAGCATTACAAACACACCTTATTTATTCTTTCTTCCCTAGTTTCCAAGTTCTGGTTATAGATTTGAATCAGTTTGTCAATGGGCATCAACCTTTGTTGTAGGAGTTTGTACATAACACTGTGCTAAAGACCGACGATCATAATTGAAAATCTATACATTTCACTATTTTTATTGCATATTAAAAATTAATCACAGTTAACATTAAAATGCATTGAATTACTATAGGTGAAGTCAATCAAATGCCTATCTATTAAGAATTTTAAATAAATTAACTGACAAGTAAGAATACAACTGTGTACAAAATACTTAGCAATTTTTAAGTTTACCTTTGATTTAAACTTTTCAAATTGCGTTGAAGTTTTGACCACGATTTTATTATTTTCATCTTGTATAGAAACAATCAAGTCAGAGAGGCTTTTAATTTCTTGTGTCATGCTGTCTGTTTTATCTGTGTGACATTGCATCTCTTTATTTATTTTGAGTGAGTTGTTTTCATATTCTTTCATATCTATGGACAGTTTCTCTAGTGTTTTGTTTGACTTGGTTTCTTTTTCTTTTAAACTTTCAATTTCTTTGTTCAGCTCCTTTACTTGTTCACTCATTTGTTTTCTAAGATTTTTAAAATTCTGTTTTTGTTTTTTAGTCAGTTGTGCAATGTTTACCGTCATGTCACTCTGTTCTGTTACAAAGTTGTCTCTCCATTGTTTTATTTCTGATATGTCATCTGTAGACTTGTGTTGTGTGTCCTGTAGTGAAGATAGTGTTGTTTCAATATAGGCGAGTCTACGCTCTAGGTCAGGATGTTCTTCAACTAAAAGTAATCGCGAATATAAGTTTGTCATTTAAAATGTCTGGAACCTTGATAAATAAGTTCCTAAAAACAGCGTTAAACGTAGAAACGTTAATAAAAATATTTAAAAAGTAACAGAAAAAATAGTTTAATCTTTAACATTGCATAAGGTGTATTCATGATATCGCTATATAATTTGTTATATTAAACAAAACTAAGACATACCCGCTGTATGTTGAACTTGTGTCTTGAGTTGTCTTGGTGATTGCACTGTTAGAAATGTTTCTGTTGTCTGTGTGTCAGGCTGTGGTAAAGATGGCGTTGGTTTGTTGACATCCTTGTTGTCTTCGTCTGGTAGATTGGGGTTTAGAATTTTATTTTAGTTACAGTTCAAGGAAGAATGTTTAATTGTACATATATTTCTAGTAAGCTGCAAAGTGTTTTAATTTTTTTTCAAATTTAGGAAATCAAATTTTATTGAAATTCTAATTAGCTTAAACATCTAATATCTTCATTCTGTTAAATTTTCCAGGTCTAGATATTTACATATTAATTTATTTTAAATTGAACTAAGAAGTGTATACCGAATTTATAAATTGAAAGTGCAACATTAATTTTTAACCAAGGCGTTTAATGAAAAATCATTTAACATTTTATTAAGTTATTTCTTTCTAACTCTATTTATGAATAAATAAAGTACGACAGTTGATTTTAAATTCTAAATGTTTACCATTTTATAAATGATAAATGTTAATAATGTGTTAGTTTTTTTCTATATTTCAATCTCTAAAAAAATAATATGTTGTGTGATAGTGCATCGAGAGTGAAATTATATCCCTTAATAATGGTATGTCCCATTTCTTTAAGGTAAATTGTAAGATTCTTTGCATTTTTCTCAAACCAAACTTTTAGGCTAAATGACAGCAGGCTTTGAGATATTAAATTATAAATTCAATTTAAAAAGTGACCAGAAATATGTGACGTAACATCCAACAAGGCCGTAGCTGCTGTGTCAAGTTCTTGTGATAGCTCGATGTAGCTGACAGATGATTGGTCAGTTTTTTCTTCTAGCCACGCCTTACTTTTTGTAACAACCTGGTGATCCCAAACATAAACATTATTTCAACTGGCCAGGTTTTGTATGGCTGTTTTATGAGATAATGTCAAACGTAAAACACTTTCTACCGTCTAAATAGTATATTACTAAGTAGGCCTATATAATGTTTAAATCTCTAAATAGTATATTTAAAAACAATATATATTATTTAATGAAGATACTAGGGTAAGTTTATTTTATTTTTCAAAAATCTGTTTTGTGAAATTAAAAAAAAAATTGTTGTCTCAAAAGAGCACCCATTAATATAGTATAAAATTAGTAGTAGCCTTAAAATGTTTTAATCTTACATTTTTCATAAGTTCAATGGTAGGTCCCAGAACTTGAATCTGTTCTTCCAAATATTGTATCTGTTCTGTAACAACCTTGACCTGAATTCGTGTAGGCATCTGGTTTAAAAATAGATTCTTCACTTATTACATTTTTTTTGCTAGTCGCATAAGTCTATGTGATAGATCGTAGAGGACAGAGACATTTGGTTCACTAAAAAGGGTTAAAGAGGATATGTTTAGTCTCTTATGCTTATGACACATGTGTTGAAATAATTTATGTTTTATTAATTATAAATACATATTAAAAAAAAGTAGAATGACGTTTATCCGTTGTTACGATCGTTGATGCAGAGATAGGTGTAAACATTTGCAGACGTGTGTGTTAGCATCTGTGAAAATATACATTGCCACCCCCCCCCCCTTTACCGCATGACTGCTACATCACAGCAAAAAAATGTCAAGGTGTGATACCAAGGTGTGATACCAAGGTGTGATACCAAGGTGTGATACCAAGGTGTGATACCAAGGTGTGATACCAAGTGTGATACCAAGGTGTGATTCCATGGTGTGATACCAAAGTGTGATACAAAGATGTGAAACCAATGTGTGATACATAGATGTGATACCAAGGTGTGATACCAAGGTGTGATACCAAGGTGTGATACCAAGGTGTGATACCAAGGTGTGTTACCAAGGTGTGATACCAAGGTGTGATACCAAGGTGTGATACCAAGGTGTGATATCAAGGTGTGATACCAAGGTGTGATACCAAGGTGTGATACCAAGGTGTGATACAAAGGTGTGATACCAAATTGTGGTACCATGGTGTGATACTAAGGTGCGATACCAAGGTGTGATACCAAGGTGTGGTACCAAGGTGTGGTAAATTAATTTCAGCAGTTGTTTTACAAGCTATGGAACGCTAGCAAGATATGGGTTAGTACGAAAGTAATATATATAATTACTTGTAGCGACAAAACGTATACATTCGTTGCAAAATGTTATTTTAATACATATTAATGCTACGGAAAAAATAAATAAAACAGGAGTAATCTCCCTAAACATTAACGGTATATTCGTATATCGCCCTAAGTCGTAAGGCACTTTCAGTGCAATTGCGCGTTAAACAGGTTTTTAAAAAAAAATTCTTAAATAACTAAATACATTATATCAGTATAATTGTATCATAAAAGTCCATTAGCTCAACTATCTAGTCTATGATAAGTCAGATGTCTAAAGTTTATCTATCACAAACTTTACGTTTGCTAAATGTAAACTTACATTTGACTGAATAATCCCAAGTTCTAAGCTGTTTGGCACTTGATTTAATCACTCTAGTTCCAATAAACTAACAAATTGTGGCTCCACTTAATCAACAATGTGTGAAGTCATGAACACAAGTTGCAGCTACAACTTAGAGTTGCCTGCTTTAGGTGTACTTTGTACTGACCCGTCCTTTGGCTTCATTTCATACCATTAATCTTAGTTTAATCTAAACATATGTAGCACCATATCGTGTTATCATTGACTGGTTTTATCACTTATATCAGCTCTAAATCAGGTGTGATCAAATCAAACAGTACATGACTGCTGACAAACTTTTTCTAAACTAAATTGGTTGTATGTCAGTGATACATTTCTCTGCATTACACAAAGTCAGCGTAGAGTAAATAACAAGCAAATAAGATGGGTGAAATATAAACCTTGGATCTCGGCCTTTTAAAATCTCAGTGGCCGCCCATGTTAATGACGAAACATTGATGTAAATATTATAAGTGTTCTCTTCACGCTGATCATTTCAAGTGTTCACAACCAAGAAATCCACCCACCTTCTTGAATCATTTCAAGTTTTCACAACCACCTTCTTGAAATTATAAGTGTTCTCTTCAATCTGATCATTTCATGTTTTCACAACAAGGAAATCGACATACCTTCTTGGAATTATAAGTGTTTTCTTCATGTGTTAGTTAACGTAGTGCTCGGCACATATTTGCGAGAAAGGAAATTGACATTATATTTCGATATAGTTTTGAGATGTTTGCGTATTATCTGTCTATATTGAAGATAGGTTTCGTACACAAACTATTGTTTAAAGCGATACCACTTTAATTAGTTTTTTCTACAACACATGGAACAGCAATAGATATTAACCAATTCATAATTAGAGCTAACTTTTATTAGGCTCACCGCGAATAATACAAAAATATATTTGCAATACAAACAGAAATGTTAAATTTGCAAAATACAAGTATAGAGTAATATTTATGATTGTCAAATTAGTTTTACTGCATCCATTTTTCATTATTTTCTTATTAAGGACTTAATAATATTACAAATATACAGTCTTAATATTATATAAAGTAAAAGTAATGCTAGATAGAGTTATAAAACAGTCATGATATCTTCGGTGTATAAAGTAAATAATCCTAGCGATCCATTAGGCAGACGAAGTAGAGTTCTTGTATTTCTTGACCTCGGCATATGAACAGAAGTTTTAGTTATTGAGTTACGTGGACATTAGACCTAAGCGGACTCGTGGACGCTGAACTTGCTGGATCCAGATTCTATCTTGAGACTTTCGAGTTAGCAAAACTTTTCCCCTACCGCATAGCCACGCCATTACCTCTTCAGTGTATGAATATAATTATAAGCTCATAGCGAGAATGAACCCTTATGATAATATTCAACTGAGATAATATTTTGATTTGAAATTTTTGGTTTAGAAATACACTATATTCCTTTCAGTTAAAATTTCTTAAAATAGTAAAACCGCTTCCTTTTTGCAGGAAAGACCCTGGTCCTGATTGTTGAACTTTAAAATATAGTTCTTGACCTTTCTTCATCGGAACTCCTGTTGATCCGCAAGCAGAAATATTGTCAGTTTTTGCATAAATAGTTTTATACTTTAGTTTTCTAACTTGTTTATGACGTCACACTCCGTTGACTCAAGCACATGGACAAAAATTGTGTCTTCATGAATTCAGCCCACTTATAATGATTATTATTACTAAATGAATAGTCAATTTAAGCTACAAAAGTGCTAATAGTTTTATTATTCACTATTTTATGTGTATTAACAGTTTATTTCACATATTAGAATAATTGAAGAAGTTATCTTTGGTTACGTTTTTGCGACATCAGCAACAAAACATAAAATTGTACTTGGGTGCCAAGCAAGTGCACAGGAAAGTGATGCTTCGCCTAGCTGTCGTTGCTTCAAGCTCTAAATAAGGAAGAATGTTAATATAGACTTCTCCTTTATATATAATGTACACTTTCGAACGTTACAGGCCACGAGGCGGGTGAGGTAGAGTTCACCTGTTTCATCGACCTCGGTATATGGACAGAACGATGCTGAAAAACAGTGATCATGCTGCTGGGTACAATATAAAAAATTTAGCCTTGAAATAGGATTGTAAAATATTAGAAGAATAGAAAAAACTAAATACGACAACAGGAAGTGAGGTGGTGGACAACTATCCTGGATACCACCAAAGATAGGTCTTTACAGTGACCATGACAATAACACTTACAATAGACGTACACCTCGAGATCAATACAGTAGCGTTAAAATATGCTGACAAATATACCCACTCCAGTGATGGTGAGTACCCGCATCAGTGGCATTATACAGGCATCCAGTACTGACAATATAGTTATTAAGTACCCACAGCTTCAGCACTGAGTACCCACTTTAGTGACTCTGAGCACCTACGGATTTAGCACTAAGTACCCACTGGCTAGTAAAATCATATAATACGCGGTAATACAATTGGATTTTATTCAAAGATATATAAGGATTTATTTACTTACCACTCCGATATAAATCAACCCCATTTATCTTGGCAAAAAAAAAAGCGACGCACCCCTACCACTTTTTTTGTCGTTACACAATACGCTTGGTTTCTTTTCTAAATGTTATAAGAGTCATCTACCAGTCCAGGGTAAATCCCTAACGCTAACCCACAGCAGTGATACTGAGCACCCACAGCTGAGTACTTATAACAATGTTATCGATTACCAACAGCGCCAGCGCTGAGTACCCAAACAGTGACACCAAGTACTCAGTACACATGACTTCAGCACTCAGTACCCATTGATTCAGTATTGAGGACCCACAACATTGTAGCTATAGCATTGGCATTGGGTATCAATAGCACTATTATTCGAGTATCGGAGCAGTAGAACGTACCGAAAAAGCACATAGGCCTTCTACCAATAGCAGAAACATTGGGTAACAACAACTAAGGCACTGAGTATGCTATTTTACTGTTTAGGTAGCGACGTACAAATCCATGATATTTATTTCAAGTTAATTCCATGTTTCCAGGCAAGATGGGTAAAAGTAAAAGATGAAGTTGAGAGAACAGTAGCAATTAATTACAATGAACTAGTTGCGTGATTTTCTAACAAAACTGGCTAGTGAAATCGTATATTACGCGTTAATACAATTGGTTTTTATTCTAAGATTTATAATGATTTATCTACTTACCATTCCGATATAAATCATCCCCATTTATCTTGGCAAAAAAGCGACGCACCCCTACCACTTTTTTTATCGTTACACAATACGCTTGGTTTCTTTTCTAAATGTTATAAGAGTCATCTACTTACCAGTCCAGGATAAATCATTCCGATTTTAGTCGACAGAATTGCACCCCCTCCTCTCCCATCTTGATGGTAAACGATCTTTCCAGGTCTCTGGTTCTTAAGAGTGTACTTCACATTTACCCAAGCAATGCAGAAAGCAGTTGAATAAAGACATGTATCCGTTTAATTAACTTTGACCGTTTATAATTCAAAACTTCAGCTTATTAAAACTGACTTTTACAGCTTTTTGTGCTTCCCTCCTGTCGGCAGCGGACGACCCCACCCGCTGCCCCTCTACATCAACTAGACCCATGGGTAGCCTACACTAAAGTAGACAGGTCCATGCTACTTCACTGATAGTAGTTATATAGCTGTAGACTTGTTTTGTATTAAGATAGTATACAAGTACAGAAAGCAAACCAAACACTTACGATAATATAAA